CATACACCCAGTTGAGCTAGTCATCTGAAACTTCGTGTGGAGTTGCTCCATGGAGTCTAGATTTAATGTGCCAAAGAACAAGTCAGAAATAATGCGGACAAAAAAGTCATGCAGGGTGGCACTTTTTTGTGTCACCCTGTACCTTCCATATTTAGCAGAACATGAGAAAATCCTTTAATATGGTCAAAGGCAGCTTATTCCTTTCATCAAACATTACAGTTTTAAACATTGGTTCACTTGCTCATTTCCCTTCATTTTAACCACTTTTTATGTTAAGATAAAAAGGAAGTGAAGGTTTCTGACAATATTTTCATTGGATAGTGTCTATCCAATACTATAATAGCTTTTAGAAAAAAATATACCACAAACGCTTTTACCCACATTTAGATTGATTCAATAGTGCCTCAACGACTCAATAAATTCATTCCTAATAGAATAATTTCTCAATTCCTGTAATTTTTAGTTTAAACAATTGCATATTCAAATTTACCAAATGCAGGTACTAGAATAATACAGGTATTCATATATGCAAGATTTGTCAGATATTTGCATCGAATAATGGCAATTATGGTAATACTTTGTATTAAATACTTTATATTATGTGGGTAGGAGTAACAGGTAGACTTTTTGATCTCTGTTCTTTTTGCACAATCTATATGTATCAGTCATATGAATTATTCACCAGCAGCACATATAGCTACAGTGATAAAGGATGTCCTTGATTTGAATAAGAATGTCCAACACCTCCAACAGACATGAATGGCAAACGCAATACAAAAGCAATATATCCCAATCTTCCTTTAAGCTTCACTTTATATCTATAAGTTATTTGTAAAGCTACAACACATTAATTTAATGTGCAAATACATCGAGTTGTCCAGAAAAGTAATTTTTATCTATGCCCACATTCTAAAATGGTAAAATTTTTAATAGCTGAAATGTAGATTTACATCTTCCAATATACAGGGTGGCTCAAAAATCGCCACTTTAATTCAAAATGATATAACTTTTTTAATTTTTGATCCAAAATCATGATTTGCATACCAAATGAAACTGGAAGATGCAATCTAGCCATGAATTATGAATTGTACACTTTTACTTGAATAAAATGTCGCCAGCGTCTCACTTTAACATGTGCCATGAGAAATGAACAGAATTTGCATAATGTTCCTGAACTGATACGGCCTGATGACCACCGAGCTAATAGTCCTGATGTAAACCCCAGTGAGTATAGGTTACCGGAAGGTCTTCAGGAGATGGTATAAAGGCACCCAATCTCAAAAATGCTCAACTAAAGCTGGCAATTAAGACAGGTTAAAAGAACATCAACATCTCATTGATACTACTATATCAGCATGGTGACTAAGACTTAAGGCTATCATCAAAGAGGGTGGCGGACCAATTGAACTCCTCTTTTATATCAAATACAATCCAAGTTGAAGGACTTATTATATTATTTTATTTTTTAGGACCCCTGGCACTATATAACTGGCATTTTTTTGGCCCACCCTGTATATGCATCTTGCAATTAACCATATCAAATATGGAGATTATTGAGAATAAATTTAGAGTTCTAGCCATGTCGTAGCACCATTTTATCATTAAGGGATGTAATTTCAAAAATGACAACTTAGAGTCAATACGTCCAAATCCAAACAGGGGGGTAAACACGAACGGGTTCCAAACAATGGCAAGCAAATCATTGAATTGAATAATATTACCTCTACTACCTCTACATAATATTTGTAGCCTAAAAGATACCATATAATGATGTATAACAACAATCTAACAATAAAATAATCAATTATGATGATTTAGGTGTTCGGAATTACCCCCATGCTCGTGTTTGGAATTACCCCCACAAACCATATGCCTTTCAATCAATAGATATCACTTATAAATTAATTAAATTTGGGTTTTTTGATATGCAGGGGTGACAGGATCCAGTATCATAAGTTCAGGGTATCATATAATGATATACCATCAATCTAACAATTAAAACAATTAAATTTAAGTTTAGTGTTTGGAATTACCCCCATGTTAGTGTTCGGATTTACCCCCCAAAAATACTCCTGTTCGGAATTACCCCCCTAAAATACCTTGTAGTAAAAATGGTATAACCCAGATTTTTTTTACAATTTTTCGTAATTTTTTCGGCAAATGCATTCTACAGTGTATAATACACATAATATATATAGAATCATACCATAGATGTGCAGTACAGCCAAGCTAACTACATTTTTTGATGGGGGTGTTTGGAAATAGACGTATTGACTCTATAGTCCTCTGAAATTGATTAAGAAATATGTGGATTCTCATATTTGTTTCTATTGTTGAAATGGGATCAAGTGATCACATTATAGGAGAATCACAACAGTAATAATGTACAAACAAGGCATTAACATGCAATATGTCTCCACCTGCCATTAGTTACAGACGCTGATAGCATTTGTTACAGATGCTGAACGCCAACTGCCAAACATTGTCCACAAAAAAGTTGGAGACTAATAATAGAATATACAATAACATAAAGTTAGTTTAAGTATTTAAGGAATCATTGTGGCGGTTCATAATTCATAACCTATCAGCAAGTACCCTTTACTACCAATTAGTGTATGTTATTCAGGTATTACATATGAATATATGTTTTTTACTTGCATATCCATATATATGTATGTATTGTATGACTGTAAATTGTGGAAAAATAACAAAATACTTCATTCATAAAAGTTTTTAATTTCACCTCAGCGAGCATACACACTGCTCAGCAGCACATACAACATCCTCCTAAGCAGGTATCCAGAATCTGTACCTCCCTCTTCCCCCTCCTATCACCAATTTGGAAGCGCCCGATTAAACTGAATCACGTGATATAATTATGCGCAATGACTTATACATGATTTCTGTTGCAGTGTTGTGACAGCCAATCAGATTGCGAGTTTTTAATCGGGGAAATGCTAACTGCTTATCACAGGGGGTAAAAAGGAAGAATATATTCTGGATTTTGAAGCCCTGTGATTGGAGGATGCACATGCAATAGCAGTACATACTTCTAAGATAAAGCAAAAAATAATTAAATAGTACAAAAATTGCATTTTTTATTATTTATTAACATAACATTATTTTTAATGAGTTATATAAATATTCTTTACCAAATTGAAATATAAAAGTAAGTTTACAAATATATTATACAGTACATAAATATTCACTGTATAATATATAGATGAGTACATTTAAGCATTACATTTTTAATTACTTATCAACATAACATTATTTTTAATGAGTTACATAAATATTCTTTAAGTTTACAGATACACTATACAGTATATACACTGTATTTGAGTATACAAGTATGGTATATGAGACCATATGAGCTAGGGCACAGGAAAATGGGTCTTATAACATTTTTTCAATATTTTGATATTGTGTTCATATTAAACAAGACACACAGTGATAAATATCGCACTTTGAAGAGCAAACTGGCCACCATGCAATTTACCCAGCATGGCCAAAACCTAATCAGACCGTGGCACTAGTCTGCTCTTCCATATGTAAACATTTCAAGTTGACAAGGTTAGCGGTTTTCCTGCAATTTTGATGACAAGAATTTATTTGTAGTCTTGAACTTTGGGAAAGTTTAGATAACATTGTTTGTGACCTAATTTGATGACCTTCGACCTTGAAAATTTTACTTTTTCAGACCTCAGTAGGTCTTTTGTAATTAGCTGACCTAAATTTAAATCCAAAATATCAATTTAGAAAATCAAATTTTTTACCTTTTCAAGGCCACTGAAGGTCAACAAAACTTTTCAAGGCCACTGAAGGTCAACGAAAGGTCAAATCTGAAATCTAAGGTCAGATTTGAACTTCTGAGAACTTGTAGATGTTTTTAAAAAAAAAATTTGGTCAATTTGGAGCAAGTTGAAAAATTCAAAATGGCCGCCAAATTAAAAATTCAAAATGGCCACCATGTCATTCAGCCAGCATACCCAAAACCTAATCAGATCTTGGCAATAGTCTGTTCTTGCATCTGTTAAAATTTCAAGTTGAACGGATAAGTGGTTTTCCTGGAATTTTGATGACAAGATTTGTTGAAAAATTCAAAATGGCCACCACGTAGTTTACCCAGCATGCCCTTAACCTAATCAGATCTTGGCACTAGTCTGCTATTGCATGTGTAAAAATTTCAAGTTGAACAGGTAAGTGGTTTTCTTGGAATTTTGATGACAAGAATTGATTTGTAGTCTCAAACTTTGAGAAACTTGGATAACATCATTTGTGACCTTGACTTTCGACCTTTAAAATTTCACTTTTTCAGACCTCAGTAGGTGTTTTGTAATTAAGCTGACCTAAATTTAAATCCAAAATATCAATTCAGAAAATCAACTTTTTTGACCTTTTCAAGGTCACTGAAGGTGAATGAAAGGTCAAATCTGAAATCTAAGGTCAGATTTGAACTTCTGAGAACTTGTAGATGTTTTTTAAAAAAAAATTTGGTCAATTTGGAGCAAGTTGAAAAATTCAAAATGGCCGCCAAATTCAAAAATTCAAAATGGCCACCATGTAATTCAGCCAGCATACCCAAAACCTAATCAGATCTTGGCAATTGTCTGCTCTTGCATCTGTAAAAATTTCAAGTTGAACGGATAAGTGGTTTTCCTGGAATTTTGATGACAAGATTTGTTGAAAAATTCAAAATGGCCGCCACATAGTTTACCCAGCATGCCCTTAACCTAATCAGATCTTGGTACTAGTCTGCTCTTGCATCTGTGAAAATTTCAAGTTGAACAGGTAAGCAGTTATCCTGGAAATTTGATGACAAGATTTAGTTTATGTCCCGCCCGCCCGCCCAAACGCCCGCCCAACAGCACAAGACGACGACAATATAGCACTTTTTCAAAGTGCGATAAAAACACAAAGAGACCTTTCAAATGAGCCATAGCTTATGTCGTAACAATTTTTCCATGCAGATATAGACCAAAAAGACATATTTGAATTGAGCCCATTTTCCTCTAAATCTTGGGCACATTTTTGGCTCTGGAGCACAATTCTAATTTTTGTGATAAGACCGGTTTTCCTATGTTAAGGCTCATATAAGTACCTTTACAGTTAAGTTATATTACGTAACATCCACATGAAAATTGCATTGATTGATATATGCTACACAACTGTAAATCATGATTGGTTTTTCTCTCAAGATTCAAGATACTCTACACATAAAAAATTGTGTCATAATTTGAAATAGATGAGGCAAAATCCACATCAATGAGGTTAAAAATTACTCAGCATACCAAAAACATTCACTCCAGAATTTTCAAACATAAAGCACCCTGATTTTTCACACAAGATTTTGCAGTGGCTACATTCCATATTTATAAATATGCTTTCTACGTCCCCGCAGCAGTGTATGTGTAAACATACATGTGACGTAGGGTTGTTTTTGTAACCAGCTGATTGAAACAGAGGTAAATTGAGCCATATTTGAGCAAACTGAAAACATATTTTTGACTTTTTAGTTTCAATAACTCGAAGCTAAATTGTAAACTTATAGGCACCATATGGGTTGATTTCTGACACAATTTGTCCTGTCTCTGGCAATTTCACAAGAGGCATTGTCTGTTTCAACATAAAAAACTATTAAAATAGGCACCATATCATAGAGGTTTCAGCTTTTGCACAGTCTGTCCTATATTTGTTAGCCTATCGTAGAGAGATGTCTTGTCAGTAAAAATTTCAACCTTATCGAGCCCAACATCAATAAACTCGTAAGTAGTGCCCTGCAACATCAACACAAAGATTACGAATATCACTTCTCATGGTATTGAAAATATTGCTAAAATGAACCAAGAATCTAATTTTAAAAATATACACATATTAAATACATCACAGGCCTATTGTGAGTCCGCGGAATGTCTGTTGTCATATAATAGCAACGTACATGTACATGGTGATGTAATCCTTAATCAATCTGATCAAAATAGAAACACAGAATGGCATTGGAATCTATATTATTGATGATTTAACTTTTTAAAAAACAAAGAATTTACATAGTGCTTTTTTCAAGTCAATCTTATATTTGATCATCACATTCAGAAACTTACCTGTTTCTGGAACACTACAATGTATGGTATCCCAATTCTCTTGGCAAAAAATATCATTTTTGGGATTGAATGTCTTTCAAATCTATCATCTAGAACCACTTGGTTCCTAAGACCAGGCAAAGTCTGTAAGTGATCATAGGCTTCTTCTCCTTCCACTCCCTGTAAATGAAATAACAATCTGTTAAAATACATAGGTGGCATAGGGAATACAAATAGAGACATGTGGAGTTGTTTTGTCCATGGGATTATTTTTTTATTTTTTATTTATATTAAGATTAGATCTCATACTTGATTCATGAGATATGACATACATTATGTAAGATGCTATCACAAGAGAACATACCTGTGCTTTATGAGGTATGACATACATCATGTAAGATGCTATCATAAGGGGACATACCTGTGATTTATGAGGTATGACATACATTATGTAAGATGCTATCACAAGAGAACATACCTGTGCTTTATGAGGTATGACATACATCATGTAAGATGCTATCACAAGGGGACATACCTGTGATTTATGAGGTATGACATACATTATGTAAGATGCTATCACAAGCGGACATACCTGCGATTTATGAGGTATGACATACATTATGTAAGATGCTATCACAAGCGGACATACCTGTGATTTATGAGGTATGACATACATTATGTAAGATGCTATCACAAGAGAACATACCTGTGCTTTATGAGGTATGACATACATCATGTAAGATGCTATCATAAGGGGACATACCTGTGATTTATGAGGTATGACATACATTATGTAAGATGCTATCACAAGAGAACATACCTGTGCTTTATGAGGTATGACATACATCATGTAAGATGCTATCACAAGGGGACATACCTGTGATTTATGAGGTATGACATACATTATGTAAGATGCTATCACAAGCGGACATACCTGCGATTTATGAGGTATGACATACACTACCGTATTATCTCTATTAAACGCACAGTGCGCTTAGCAAATTCCCGTGGGGGAGAGGTTTCAAGTAGCTAAATCCCCTGAAATTCTAAAAAATTATGATGGTGGGCGATAATGGGTGAAAATTTACTTCTATACCTAAAATCGATCAAATATAGTAGATACACGTATGTGCGTTTATTAGAGAGAATATGCTATATGTTATGTTTTTACCTTGAATTGTGAGCTCCTAGACGACAAATTTAGTATATAAATACACTATTGTGTGTTATTTACACGAACACCTACGAACTCCCATGCAGTGTCTCGGTATAGACACTGCGGCGGGCAGATTATTGAATCCCCAAAATTTGGGGAAGATAGTCCCCCTTTTTGTCACAGATGTACTTGATTTTCATACAACTTATAAAATATATGTTCTTTTATGTTCACCAATCATTATTTTGTCAAAATATTTCAAAATTATTGAAATATGAGAAGAAATCACCGCGGAAGGAATTCTGAGTAAAAGTTTTGTTGATAATAGTTTACCGCACGTGTTGTTTATAAGTTAATACACGCAATTCAACCAATGAAATTGTCTAAATTTTACAATCACGCGACCTGAGCATGGGACTAGAACCAATCACGTAAGTTGTTTATTACGAAGTTACCATGCTTACGATGAGATACCTGCCCGCCGCAGTGATATATCACTGCACGGGAGTTCGGAACACCTGAAGAAATTTCTTACGTTGCATGATGGGAAATCGTGACGTCATGAATCATGATGCATTATTTTAACGAACGGTGAAAATACTCTATTATCGCCCACAATGTTTTTTTTATTAGAGCTTCGTCAGATCTCAATATTATCTGGACAGGACTTTCTAACCCAGGACAAAAAGTCGGGTGTGCGTTTATTAGAGAGTGTGCGTTTAATAGAGATAATACGGTATGTAAGATGCTATCACAAGGGGACATACCTGTGATTTATGAGGTATGACATGCATCATGTAAGATGCTATCACAAGGGGACATACCTGTGATTTATGAGGTATGACATACATGTACATCATGTAAGATGCTATCACAAGGGGACATACCTGTGATTCATGAGAATGACATACATCATGTAAGATGCTATCACAAGGGGACATACCTGTGATTTATGAGGTATGACATATATTATGTAAGATGCTATCACAAGGGGACATACCTGTGATTCATGAGAATGACATACATCATGTAAGATGCTATCACAAGGGGACATACCTGTGATTTATGAGGTATGACATATATTATGTAAGATGCTATCACAAGGGGACATACCTGTGATTCATGAGAATGACACACATCATGTAAGATGCTATCACAAGGGGACATACCTGTGATTTATGAGGTATTAATGACATACATTATGTAAGATGCTATCACAAGGAGACAGACCTGTGATTTATGAGGTATGACATACATCATGTAAGATGCTATCACAAGGGGACATACCTGTGATTTATGAGGTATGATAGACACAATGTAGGGTGCAATTGCAAGGGGCCACCTAATATCATCTTCCACAGCTAAGACCTCTACAGCTGCAGCTAGGAGACGACTCACACCAATACCATAGCAACCCATCTGGGTCAGTCTGTAAAACAATAATAAGTCTATTCAGGTCACTTATATCATTTAATCCATTGTAATCTCAAAAGAACCAAGAATTTCTTATTTCTAATTACTTTTCTAGTAATATGATTCAATATAACATACTGAGTGTGTCATATGATGCTGGGGATATTTGCATCAGACTGGAACACTAACAATATCAACATGTCAAAAACTCCACACCTAACTTGTGTGGCCATTTGTTTTTACTGGTAAATGTGCAGGAATTCGATGTTACAGTATAAGAGCTGACCAAGCCAATATGCCCTTTGAGGGTGTGCTTTTTCTTTTCAGTGAAAATGAGGCAAGCATTTGATCGCATTATAACCAAGGATTACTCTTGCAGACTGCCTTAAGATCTATTTTATGTGTTAACTGAACCCTCACATATGTGAGAAAGTTAACTTGATGAGAGCCTTCTATTCCCCATCAGAAGCCATTGAGCCAATGACATACAGGTATCACAAACAGGTCTATAGCTGTTTACAGCATTAAAGCTTTCTCCAGCATTGCTGGTGTGAAAGGGAGGACTGAAGCAAGTGAAATATTCTTACTCTGGTGTGTCATAGCGGTTCTTGTAGATGGCTTTGAATACTGATGAGTATTTTGTCCCAAGGAGAAAGGCATGACCAATCTGAAAGTATATAAAATGCCATCATATGAACAACTGTAAATCATTTAAAATAAACATGGCAAATCCTGTTCTTTACCCTTATATATCTAAGTTCTATTTTGGTTTCATCATGATTTTGAAATTCAATTTCAATCTTGCGACATAATGTAATAATGCTCAAAAATGTAGCACTAGGTTTATCTTCTCAGCAATTTTATGATAAGAACTGGATGGCAGCGGGCAAACCAACATTGTACTCCTGGTGACATCTATAAATGAATCCTGAATTGACAATATGTTATCACTTCTTGGTGGAGGTAAAAATATTTTATATTATCCCATGGTTACAAGGATACACTGTAGATCGAATATTAGGTGACGATATATTTGATATGTGGATCAAGATAAAGAAATTTTAGATTTTTTCCTTCAATTTTTTTTTCAAATTTTTTTTCGAAATCTCTTTAAAAATTTTTTTTAATTTTTTTTAAAATTTTTTTTCGCTGGGTTAAGATTTCTCATGGGATAAACGGACAATCCTATGGTTTTTCAAAAATATCAATTATATCCACTCATGGATATCAATATCTTCACTCATTCGCTGCGCTCACTCGTAAAGATATCAACATCCACTCATGGATATAAATGATATTTTTTCAAAACCATAGGATATTCCTATAATACTCTGTACCTCGATTCCACTTTTGGTTTCGGGAGTAGTATCACATTCTTCACATTTCATCTCATCCCAATTGCCTGGAAACAAAATGTGAAGTGTTAAAAATGTGAAACCTCATTACATTTATCTCTTTTGTCACCACCTGGGCATAACAAATCAAAATTAGGCTGAAAGTGCTAGTGATGTTCAGATCAGATAAGCAAAATTTTTTTTTATACATACTTCATATTTATTTCTAAAAATCAATCAGTTACATTTTTAAAAATTGCCATTGTTGACAGGACAACATTATCGGCAATTGAAACAATTTTGATAAATAAGAAATTGATATTCAGATATACACAAAATGTTCAGAGAAGCTTTTTCTTTTTTTGTTGTTGTTGTTTGGTTTGCTTGTTCCCAGTACCAAGTGGTATCAAGCTCAAATGTTATAAATTACCCTGTCCCAGACTTTGTATAGCTTGAAAAGTTTAGTGAGCAGTGATTTCAATCAGTTTTTCATTTGTTTCAAAGTCCAAATTTTCATCTCCATTTAATAGAAAATGTGTTTTCCTTTGAATTGAGTATGGTTCAAAATCTCGTAAACAGTCCAAGTCTGATAGTCCTGCAAGAAGAACTTCACGTTCATTAAGTAGCAGTGGACACTTGATTAAAAAGTGTTAAGTGGTTTGGAATTTTTCACCACATTGACATTTGGGATCTGTTACCGACAGGAAATTATGAGAATAAAAGTGACTGTTCAAAAGTAGACCAGCTCTTAGTCTATTGAATTTGATTTCTATTTGCCTTGGCATGCACCTAGTCATTTTAGTAGTTGATACAGAGACAAGGCTCGTGTACTCTCTAATTGACCTTGAAATGGGTTGACCAACTCTAATCACTGCTGGCAGTTTATTCCAAACCTTCATGGAATTAAAAATAATGGATTTACCACAAGATTAACTCAAATGGTTCGGAATTCTAGTCATGCTGGAATCTGAGGTCTCTGGTATGAGTGATTTCATATGTACGAACTAGGTCACAAATAAAGGGTGGAAAACAGTTGAAGCGAGCTTTGAATAAGAAAATTTTTAAATGTTCATCTCTTCTCAAGGAGAGGGTTTTCCAATTAATAGAGGAAAGCACTTTGTCTGTACTTGACCCATGGATAGCACCAGACACCAGGCATGCTGTTCTGTAATGTAGTCTGTCGAGAGCTTGTAGTTTTGCTAAGGAGGCTTTGTTATAGATTATGTCACAGTAGTCAAAGTGTGGTAAAAAATAGGCATTATAGATTTTTTCAAAGTGCTTACCTGGTAAATTTTTACAGAGAGCTTTCAAGGGTCTAATTAGGGAGGTTATTTTACCAATTGATTGATCTATATGGGCATTGAAATTAAGTTTACAATCCAGGACTAGTCCAAGATGTTTATGAGTTGTGCAAATGGGTATCTCTTCACCTCCCAAAGTTAGGGGAGATTGATTAATATTCTGGGTGCGTTGTCCCGAGAAAGTTATGTCAGCACTCTTTTGAGCTTTAAATTTCATTCTCCATAGTAATGACCATTGGTGTAAAGTGTCAAGGTCATCTTGTAATGGCTGATTAATGTTTAAAAAGACTTCATTTTTATCATACGCATCATACAGTGAAGTGTCGTCAGCAAAAATAAAAGTTTTTGAGTTGAGATTGTCAGGTAAGTCGTTAATATAAATTAGAAATAATAGGGGTCCTAAATCAGACCCCTGCGGCACACCCGCATCAGATAAGCAATTGAATTATGACCATACAGTCTTACGTACCTTTAAGCTCAGAATTGATACCAAGGTTACAGCTTGGGCAAACATGAAGAGTGTCTTGACCCACAGGGGCAGGGATATGGAACTCATGTGACATGGAGCCACCTATGTTTCCAGTATCAGCAGCAACTGAAACAAAAGTATTTCAACATTACCCAGATAATTCACCAAAAACTGGTTTAAGTAAATTAAAGGTGCAACCATTAGTGCAGAGGGGCCATTCAACGATCATGGACCAATGTCAAAATATGTTTAAGTTTTGATATTTCATCAAGACTAACATATATTTTTATTATTTCAAAAGAAAGTCCCTGAATGAACATATTATATCAGCTGATATTCCTCTTGAAAAGTGGTGGATCTTGAAAATCTATAAGTGGGACTCCCTTTTAAGAACCTTTGAACTGAATTTACACTTCTTAATGCTGAAATTGATAGTTCATCCATACATTTTAAGAAATAGGTATGTCAAAGAAGATGTTTAGCCAAATGTTGCCCTGATAGGTCAGAAAAAGTAAAAATTTTCAAATTTTTTCTCTACAGTCCTTGTTGCCCCTTTAATGCAATAGATTTTTAATTTTTCCCAAAATTCATTATTTCATGGTGACCATCAACATGTTGAACTTGTCTCTTACCTTTGATATATTTTAAACCAAGAATGTTAAAGATATTGTGGTAGGCCTGACACACAGATCTATATGTCTCTTCTGCAGCTTTAATGTTTCTGTCAAATGTATAGAGATCTGCAACCAGAAAACACAAATGCTAAGTTTTGTGTGCAATAATATGTGAATCCATACAAGCTTATCATTCCATTTCTGCAGAGTAGAAAGCACATATTTGCATTTCTGATTATCCAATAGAATAATGGGACAGGAATTTGAAAATATTCTCTCAATGATCGACCTAGAGCCCTGTTCACTGTAATCCTTGCAAACAGCTTTTCTCACAGTTCTAAATATCATTAATTTCTAGAGCTAAATCTAATTCAAAAATATACTCATTCTTTTGTTTAATATGTAGACTACAAAGCCTTCAAAACTCTAAAAAAACAACAGTTAAATATTCACATGCATAAATAAAATCTTAAACATGTGGCACATTTCCAAGATATTTTGGGTGTAGATTAATGCTCTGATATTGGAAATATGATTCATATGAAGACTAAAAAATTGCATCTCCCCTGCATCTCTTTTCTCATATTTTTTTTTCATAGTGTGGATAGTAGATAATAAGTTATTGCAACCATATCAAGGCAATGACTGGCTTTCACAGAGTATTCCTTTAACAGTTTAATCATCAATTTACCTTTCATTTCAAACTCTCTCCCCCTGAGGAGGCCATTGGCAGGACGTCTCTCATCTCTGAACTTTTTGGTAATCTGATGTAAAAAGATCAAATTCATAAAAATTTTAAATCAAGCTTATCTGAAAAACTGAAACAGCTGTGGTAATAGACATTTGTTTTTTATATATCTTTTTTATATATTCATAAAGCTTGTATAAATCTAAAACGATTCTCTTAAGAACAGTTTTAAAATGAGACAAATTACCTGATATAATTTAATAGGCAACATCTTTGGTGACTGATTTAGTTGGCCAACTAATTTTGTGATAGCTTCCTCGTGTGTCTGGAAATGAAAAACCATCCAAAATGTAAAACAATTTTATTATGGGCATAGTCAAATCTTTTTAACCTTAACAATAATAACCCAGCCTATTTACACGTATCTATATTATTTATATGTATTTATTTACATGTTCTTACTACTTATATTTACTACTAATCAGAGAAGCTTACTGGTATACTTTGTAATTAGGAAAATGCAAATCTTTATCCAAAGCAACTAAAATTATTTTTGATCTCATCGTATGAAGACCTTTGATCTTATCTCAAGCATATAGTTACATCATCCTCCGAATAGGGCATGTAGAACACAAGTGCTAAACAACACTGATAAGACCTAAACAATACTAACTAGACTTAAACAATACTGACTAGGCCTAAACAGTACTTACTAGGTCTGAACAATATCCAATAGGCCTAAGCAATACTAAGCTTAGACATATCTAACTGGGCCTAAACAACATTTACTAGGTCTAGAAATCATCACAAAGCCTAAACAATACTGAGTAGGCCTAAAAAATACTCACTGGGCCTAAACAGTACTCCACATTGTGTCTATCTTTGAGAACAAATAGCTCAGATCTACTGGACTCCCATCTATCTGAGGCTTTCCACAACTTTGCTGGTGTAATAGATGAGAGAGACACCTTTTGACCACCTATGGCTTGCATCTGGTCATCAATGATGCTCACAAGTTTCTCAAATGCTTTTTGTAGTGGAGGAAGGTAGTGGAATGCACCAGGATGACTCTGGTAGATGAGGTTGTTATACAACAGCAGCTGCAATTGGAACATTGTTAATATATAGTGGAGTAAAACACACCCAGGAATCATTAATCAACATGGTTACAAAGCAATAAGGCAAATGTGAGTAGGTAGTTACCAGTTTCACCACCAGGTGGCTCGCTCGGGTCAGATAGCATGGCGGGTATAGTAGAAAGTTCCCTTTACATCTGTTTTAGTGGTTCAATTTTCATGTATCGAATAGTTATGCAAATTAAAGTATGTCCAGTAAAAGAAAATGTTATATGTCCAATACAAGAAAAGATATTTCACTTTTTGTGATTTTGTAATATGGGGTCTTTGGGGAATCAACCCGAACTAGAAGTCACATTTTCAAAAAAGATTAAATTTTCAAAGTTGATAAACACTTTTTGAAACCATATTTTTAGATGTATTTTTACATGTAGATTTCAAATATGACATCACTTTGACTGAATTTTGAATATTTAATGACGTAAATCAAGATCATTTCTACTCGCATCTACTCTATTTCATATTTTTCAGAAAAATATTGATACGAGAAAAAAGCAGCATTTGATGATTAGAAGTTCATAGACCATTAGCAGGTTGAGGATACTTTAATCAATCATGCTATTTGATAATTAATAAATAAGCACCAATGTGACTTTGAGTTGTCTTTGGTGTCCAATGAAAGGCCAAGTACTTAATAATCCAGTAGAAATGCTAGGGTGATGAAAAGAAAATGATCATTTTTCTCAATGAACACTGAATAATACACATAGAGCCATTTCCAATATACATTTTACACCAAAACTGCCTACAATATTATATTGCCTGAAGATGAAGAAAATTGAAACCATTCAACATATTTTCAATAATGGATTTTATTCCATAATACTACTATTTTCCCAGGGAAATATGAAGGAATAAAAAATCGTATTGAATCGTATTACATGAAAAATCGTTTTATCCCTGGGAAAAAATCGTATTAGAGCGTATTACATGAAAAAAATGTATTGTCCCCAAGAAAACATTATATTGGAGCATATTAACCTATATCAACCTACACTCGGTCGCTGCGCTCCCTCGGTCAATATCATATTACCCTTCGGTCAATATCATATTGTCCCTCACAATAAAACCCATATTCAATCCCTCCCAGTAAATAACCTATATATACCCACTCATATACTGTTGGCAGTTGATTTTTTAACTCCCTAATAAAAATTTAAGAAGATTGTCTATAAGACTTTATAATTGAGATGTTATTCATTTTCATTCATATACCTGCCTGTACCCGAGGAATAGGTTGAAATATGTTCTACTAATGAATCAAAAAGCAGGTGAATGCAACACTAACTGAAATGTTGTTGAATTTTCTACATTGTTTTTAAATTTTAAATCAAATCTTCTTGCCTTCCCTTTTAAGAAACAAACATGCTGGTCAAAGTTTGAAACAATTGATTTTGTCTTCATGCAGTGACTATACAACATGTCATATGAATAATATGATATTTTTAGAAAAATTAAATAAACTATTATGCATGATTTAAGCACCATATTTATTATCAGACATCCAAATAAGATCATCAGCCAAAAGTAAGTGGTTAAATATGCATTAGAAAAAACCTTGGACAAAAAATAGAAATTACATATGTAGTGATATATTAGAATGGTGGATGTCTGTACTAATAAATTTCCAAACACCTTCCATAATATTCAAGCATGCACTTTACTGATTGTTGAACTCTTTAACTTGTTTTGATTATTTAGTCCCTATGTATTTAGATAAGGCTTGTTTAAAGTGCCTTATATATTACATAATAGGCTTTGATCTAATAGTGCAAGGTGATCTCAACTCAAAATTCACTGTCAGTAATCTGTGGAACCTTGCAAATGTTTTGTTATTACCGCATTGACATCGCCCCTTTTTATAAGTAGTGCAGGGTTGTTGCTGTGTACTGGGAACCCTATACATCAAAATACTGAGTTGAGTGATGTGGGTAAAAATAGATCTATATTAGTAGATATTATATGTTTATTCAACTTTCACAGTTTTGTAACTTGTCAGAAAAAAACAGTTTTAACATTTCTTGGCGATCTATAAATAGATATGAAGTCATGTCCATGAGCAGAGTTTTGGCCAAAAAGTAAGACATTTGTGCTTCAAGCTAAATATCTATGATTTGCAAGTGATTCTAAAAGATGGCTATGTGCAAATATAGTACGACCTGGCCAGTGTATGCATCTGCTCTACAATAGTTGAGGGTTGTAACTGTATGTACTTAGAAGGATGATACTGCCTAGTGTTGGTATAATCTGTTGGAGTAAATATGACGGTATGTCGATGGCTGCTAAGTTCTGCTTTCGTATAGATCTACACTAGCCTGCCTAAATAGTAAATTCCTGTATATTCTAGAGGTGTTAGAGGATAGACGACGCTGACTGCGTGATATAACTAAACTTACTAGATCTAGTCATTATGGGTAATTCACTTGACTTACCCTATGACTTGTACTCGAGATTTTGGAGTCTGGTGGTAATTTTTCCAAACCCATAAACATCTTTGAAGCACAAATGCGGTGGTTCTCTCTTTGGCATTGTTGAAATAAGATTTTCAAATCTTGTGAATGTCTCGTCAAAAGCCTCAAACCACTGGAATTCATGATCATTAGAATTGTTCGTATTTACTATCAAGCTGCTAAATTGGAAGTACACATGTATACAGTCTTTACGAGACGTTATGTAATAAAACATGTGAAATCAAATATTTCTGTAGTGGGTGATAATCGAGGTGACACGACACAAATGTTTTATTCGCTTCAAATATCCCAGCATTTCGTTTAGAGCAGTCGATTTGATTCGCTTCCCGGGATTTTTGAATACATCGAAACTATGCTAACATTTATGTGCAGTGGTTGATATTGGGACTACTGATAAACTGCTAAAAGAAATGAGTTGGCGACTTAGCACTGAGCCAAATGATCAACTGTCTTAGCTAAGTGCTGGTCATTGACCATGATAAGTTACTTTTTAGGCCATACCTGAGACTAACATAAAAGTTAGTCTCAGGCCATACCATGGGCTTTCACTTGAAGAGATTAACGGCTGAACTTGTAATGCCTGGTAAATTCAACTGTGTACCTATATTTGATATTCTGATGATAGCATTTCGCCCCACCACATTGGATGCTCCACCCATTGATCAGAGTCATTTATATTATTGTTTTGAAATATGAAAAAAGGAAGACTCTGTTGGAAAAAACTATAATTAGGGGTGCGGTAGGATGTTCGCGCCTTTTTCAATAACCTCGTGTTAGATAATAACCGATAACTGCGGTTCCGACGAATTTTGTTCATGAGTATGATTGACATTAATTGTCATTGCATGTGCTGGTTCATCTCAAATAAGCACGGCTTTTAAGCAAAAGATAAGTTGTGTGAAAATTTTGAAACTTCATATAAAACGACCTGCTCCGAACCCATTGATCAAATTAGGCGATGATACCCCGTGTAACATAGGTTTAACTTTTTAAAGCATGTTTAAGTGAGTGTTGCTACTAGGGCCGTGCGGCGCAAATCGTGCATCTTCCTCCACTCTACTCCCCGGCAAATGCCGCAATGAAGAACAAGTGTGCGAAGACTAACAACAGCCATGTAACAGCACAATCATTGCCCTTTGTTTTGGCCAATATCCAACCACACTAATTTCATATCAGATATCACATTTCAGATAATAACCACACATTCATAAATATTAATAAATTAAGATACAGTATCTTAGTTGATCAAACAAATGGTGAAATTAATAATTGTACAGTTACTATTTTTTTTGTATGAATCTTGTCTTTATTCTAGGTTACACAGTGTACGAATGGTGATCGCATGTCATAATTGTAAGTTATTTAGTTGCATTGGTAAGGTAAGGTATTCGAATCAGGGGATTGTCAATACTTGTGTAAAACATATGTTCTTGAGCCTGTCATACATTTGAATAACTTAATAGCGTAGTTTGACCCCACTTGATACAATCGTACAAGTACTCGTACATCTTGAGAACACGACTTCGCAACGAAAATGTTTATATTAGCAACAGAACATAAAATCCACGATTGCCAAGGTCCCTGAGAGGTGGTAATGTTCAAATTGTGATTGTTAATTCTGTCTGGATATTTTCAAGAGTCCTTCGATTGTTCCAATAATACGTTCTCGAATAAAATATAACTATGCGCTAATTGCATGCAGTGATAGGTTGCAACTAGGCAATCCATTCAATAGAGAAGCGGTGTGGAGGTTTGACGTATTGCCCCGTAAGGTCCAACACGTTGAAGAGAAAGAAAGGATTGGAAGATCATATAAAATAGCTTTTTATGTGGATTATAAAATATTTATCAAAAAGTAAAGGTAATGAATGTTTTTTTGTATTATGAGCATCAGTTATTTTTGTATATCATTGACTTGTATATCATATTGTAACATAATATAGACCTCGGTATAATTTAGATTCTCTGGTAATAATCATTTTGTCATCCAGACACTTTGTTTGTATATAGAGATAAATTAGATACATATAAGGTATGGTCATTTTATTTGATATTTTGTCTGTAGATATATATTTAGATTTACTCGTATGTTACATCAATGATGTGTACTTCGAAAGAACAATAGTGTAAGGGTTGTATTAAAGATAAATACCACGTTTTGAGGAACACTGCTTCGCTTCGCTCGCTACGGTCATGGGCTTTCAAGAGATATGTTGAAAGCCCATGCTACGATTTTATACTAAAATACAAATAGAATTCTATCTATCTCAAAACTTTTTTTTCCAAAACTATAACGACTGAACTTTACGACATTTTATACTGTTAGTTGATATCGTTGTTCGTTTATACATATGCTATTTGGAGTTGACCTATATTTCATTTATTTTCTATTTAGTCTGTTTACAGAGTAGTCATAACACAATCGCACGAACCACAATAACAAAACATCAAATTGTGAATCTGACATCTTCAACTCTAATTTTCAAGTATGGGTTGTTTATATATCAAAAGTCATTGAGTATGAGCATCTTTAGTAAACACTCTCTCTCTCTACCTTCATTCATACAGTCTTCGTCCCCAATAATTCAAAAATTGATTGATATGATTTTCGGGGCTATCAAAGTTTGTTTAATGTTTGGTTGGCTTTTGTCAGGATAATATCTAAGATTCTATTTAATAGTATGAGGGTAAATTCACAAAATAAATAAATCATGGTTGCATCAATCAAAATTTATCGTAAAAATAGATCTTAACGACCTTTTTCTATTCAGAGACATATAAAAGTACCTGTTCTGTATTCAAGTCGATATTAATAGAAATTAAAACCGATCGGAGAAATTGAAAGTATTATCTGCTATAAACCATTAAAAATTGAAATCGATGTTGAAACTAAAACTAATTTATGTAATTTACTAAATCTGAGTGACAGATGACACAACGAGCCCTCCATCCCCCAGAGAATTCAATAGGGATAGTACATGATACTGTCAAATTAATCTTCGAGAAATCCTAATCCGATTGACCTTCCTCAGAAAAAATACAATTTGATTATTATCACATTGGAAAATTGACTTTCATCACGCTTTCTTCCAATGTTGCCAATGATAACTTTCTTCTTTGTCCGTTTATATCGCTATATTTAGCCGTTTCCATAGCAACTTCATCTGAATCTTTTCAGCTGTATTCACCTACATCTTGACTGTATAAAATGACAAAAGTTTCAATCAATTACACGTCAAAGGAATGTACAATTACCGCTAAATACGATGTTTATTGCTTTATCGAATAGGAATCTGTAGATTTGTCATTCTCCATGGTTAAATACAATTTAATTTGAATAATTTGTTGCAACAGCAATCTTGCATGGCTATGCGTAACAAGGATGAGGCAGTGCTTGTCTCCCCTATTTCAAGATTCTGGTTTTGGATATATCACCCCCCTCTTGCCGTAAACTATCAGAAATCTGCTCGTACCCATCGAATCCCCTGGCTACGGGCCTGCTTCAGTTCAAAGCAGTTGATCCTAAGTAAAATAGTCAGTCACTTGTATTTCCCATATACTGGAAATGAGTTTTATGGTAAGATTGTACCATTTACCAGATCTTGAAGGATGCCTGGAGCTATTAAAAAACTTTATCTCAGTGAAACTGCCCTCCAGTCTTTATAGTGAAATATTCAGCCACATGATCAAAAAGAACTGAAGAATATCTAATGAATTTGTTTCCAGGGTTTCGCTCTTAGCCAGATATTCTGTTTCTGATGATGCTGTATTAAAAAGCGGTGATATGGCAACCATTGCAGCTTTCTTTCAGAGCTTGCGTGGGCTTATCATTTCTTGGTTATATATTGTTATTTGATAATTGCAAACCTAAACAGAGGAAAGCAATTAGTCAAATGTACACATTATAATCTTATTCCCGTGAAAGAGGTAAACTCTGAAAAAACGATTAGCCTTGGTGATTATGGAATTTGGAACTATTTTATCGTGGTCATATATCAGATTTCAGTGATTATGAAATCGTATAATTAAATCACCATGGATCTAATAAGATGAAATACGAGATTATACATTAATATGTTTCCATCCTCTTCAATCATTCGACGACAACCACTACATAAGTGTGTAAATTGATTCCGAATTAGTACTACTCTCAGTATTTTCTCTGGATGTAGTTCACGAGCTCTTGATGCCTCGTTACTTGATCAATAACCCAATATAGCATGGTTCACGGAACCAGAATGTTGACTGAGTTATAGAATTGAATAAAAAGAAATGCAAAAACGCCTACAATAAATGTATTGAGCGAAAAAGTCAATCAAAAGGCCAAAAACATAATTAATTGAATAAATACGATGTCTTCTTCAATTCAATTCAATTATTGCTATGGTTTGATGTAAATAATTTAGCTCTGCATGCTTCGTCAGCAGTAACATGAAATCATCAGGATCAAGATTTTCATTTACATTGATTTGCTTTTGTATTTTTTCAGAAAGACTAACGATGAATAATTACTCCCTTGGCGACACGTACACAAAACAAGAAGTTTAGGACAAGAACGAAGATTTCATTACAACTACTGCTAGAATCCATTATCAATTCTACATCGAGAGAAAACAATACGAACTCCATTAGAGTGGCCATAGGGTATTGACTTTCATTTCATTTCGTGATTAATTCATTAATAAAAAGCATCATGTCAACACTCAGCGAGGAAAATGTGGCAAAGTTTAACCAAAGGCAGAGGAAGGTGTCGTCATTGGCACGTGATGGAGCGACTGATTCGGCTGTCACAGGGCCGACAATCCGAAGAATCTCCCGGGCGGAAGCCCAGGGAGCCGGTGGCGGATTGGGAGTTCCTGGACGTCGGATATCTTCGTATGGACGCGAGCGACGACTCAGCTCATCAGACCGTAGCGGAGGATTAACAAGCCGCCCCGAACCCGTGCCCACAATCGTGAAAGTTCAGAACACGTATCAAATGGAGCCCACCACCAATAACAAGTTCAACCCATCTCGTGTAGAAAAGGTGGCGCTGAGTATTTTGGATACGTACCTCGACTGTGAGGATTATAATGGTAAAAAGATGTCGCATCTAAGCCAGACATTGTCAGAAATGATAAAAAACAGAGTGAAAGAAATGAACTTCCCACGTTATAAAATAGTTTGTGTAGTCACCATCGGGCAGAATTGTGGTCAGGATTTTCGGTCCGCCAGTAGGTGTCTATGGGACAGGGACAATGATACATTTGCTACAGTCACATTCAAGAACAGCTCCTTGTTTGCAATTGCCAATGTGTATGCAACGTATTTTGAATGAAATGAAAGCGTTCAAAATAAATGGAACACGGGTATGCCTATAATTCAAGCACAAGTGCCCACCAGGAGTAAATATGGAAGCTATAGACCATAGACATTATATTGAACATGGTGTGATCTACACTGTAATGTTGGATGCTGATCATGACTATTTTCAAGCGAAAAGTACAATTCTGAAAATTTGTACGTGACTTGTGTTCGTCGGCTTTGTCGATTTTTTCACATATGACATGTTGCAATGGAAAAGGGTTTTCTATTTATTTTGTACTTTTGTTACATGAACCAAGGCCAAGTAGTTACAGAACGATTCCAGGGAAAATACTCTCCATGCAATAAAAGAGATGAACTTTAAAATCCTTAAAGTATGATAAAACTATTTTTTAACAAGTATCACTTCTTTATAAAACTAATAATGCATTCACATATCTGGAGCACGCTCTATACAGTTTCAATGCAAAATTAAAGGCATGTTAACGAAAGGTATGTTCATTCATAGTATAGCTACAAATCAATTTTAAACAACGGATGGGAAATTGAGTGCAATAAACTAAGATGACGTCAAATCACATGTTTTTATTATACAATAGCGCTATTATGAATGTATAAATTTGAAATAAATTAAAAACGCAACAATTAACATGCATCATTTTATGTAAATACAAACGAGCAAAGTGTGTAAGTGATGTGGTCCGAATTGAGTGTGGTCCGGGGTAATGGTTCTAAATAAAAATTTTATATTATTCACAACAGGCACAAAATATGATTTTGATTGACGTTTTTAAAAGCATCGTCATCCCGTCGTAACGTTACAGCCCAAAATGAAACCATGAGTTTCCTGTAGTATATCAAATTATAGGAAATCCAAATATTTCAGCACTCGTCTAAATTTTTAAATGGAAATTTGAATTTGGTAATTGACATCCTACGTATCTTACGTGCAACAAAAATCAGACAACATTTGAGGAAATTGGAAATGAAAATTACCATCAGTCTTAAAAGTACATGTAGTGTCATTACAGTAACAGCTTTTGTAGAATCAAGCTTGAGGCCGGGGTACCTTCGTTTGTTTATTCTAATTTTATACACTTGGGTTTACACAACGCGTTAAATAATTGCCATCTATGAAGGATACCATTGGAAAAGAAAGTAACATTCACGGCCCCGGGGTAACATTCCTTCAAGGCTCATCGATACATATACTAAGAACATAAAGATGTCGCTTGATAAGTAAGAACATGTGAAATATTACCAGTGAACCAAGTAGCCAGAATTAATGATTTGGGCTTGCCAAAATTAAACTGCACAAATCAGTTAGTTCTCATGTTAGATTATTGCTGGTGCTGAGCAATCAACAAAACATTGTAATTATATTGAATTTTGCTTATCCATGGTTTTATTTACAGTAGCATTTACAATTTTTTTTTGATCAAATGGTCAAGTTATTCAATAAGCGACAACTGGGGAAATCAACTGTAAAAAGTATGAAAATATAAGGCTTCTTTTAAAGGCTGTCAATATGTTACAATTTGAGTTATATAGGCCACTTCTAATAAGGCATACAGCAAATACAACTTACATTTAGAAAGGTTTTTCATGAGACAGGGGTATAACCAGGACCTTGAACCCGGTGTCAAAGAATTATGGTCCCCTGGGGATTATGGTCCCCTTTCCTTACGGCCCTGACTGTGTATAAATAATAAGGCAAATAATTGTAATTAGGTCACCATATAAATCAATAGAGAGTAGGACCAAAATGTGATAGGACCACATACCCTTTTAAACCGGGACCTTGAATAATTATAAATACGGTAAGTCTAAAACTCTTCCTCTACCTCGTGCCTAGCAATAGCCACACAAGGTGTTGAGTATTATATCATGTAAACTTAAATTGTATAAAATATTCATGCTGGTAACTTGGAAGACATCACTACACTTATACATATGCATTTTAAAATAATCTCAATGTAGTATTGTGCATTACATAAATAAACATGAATATAACAAAATGTCACTTCTTGGAAAGTTATTGCAAATGGTTACACAAGTGTAACAATTTGTTACAGACAGTGACAGCCAAACAATGAATACCAACAGTGCACCTGCCAAAAATGTTAGCTGTCACAATATGTGATCAAGTCTTGGTTAACATAATAAGCTGAATTCGAAAAAATTCTAATGTCAGAGATAAATGATTAAAATGAAACATTAATTTTGTTCTTGGTATACTGCACACATATTCACATTTTGTACACTATGTATAAAAATATTCTTCCAATAATTACCCATTTGTAATTAATTTTATGTCCATGAAAAAACCAATTGAAAGGGGGTCATACATACGAGGGGTGATCCAAAAGTCTTGGACGCCCTGCTCTAATTTTGTTGGCGTTTGATGAAATTACTTTAAACTTTCCAATAATAAAGACCAACAACCGAACTACTTTGTGTATTAATTTCATGGAGAAATGATATGTTTTATGCAGATTTCTAGACAGTTTTTAATATGGGGACCCTGCCACCCGGAACAGTATTCACACATGACAACTTTCAGCCTTAAATAATGCCGCCATTTGACTTGTTTCGCAAGTCTTGACCACTGTCTTTCTTTGAATTGTGAATGTTAAACCATGCTAGTTTACTTCCTTTCTTACTAGGCAACCAATTAATTGTGTTTTAATTATAATGTCATATATGACAATGATCATATATGTCAATTCTAAGAAAATGACATCAGACAAGCAACCCTCATTCTGGTATCATTTTTGCTCCAAAATGGCTGCTGAAATGCAGAACATGAAAGAAATCAAAGTGGAACAAAGAATACTACAAGATATTTTCACTATTATTGACCTTTAGCAGCTACCATATGCACAATACAGTCTAGATATGGCTCCGTGTGATTTTCTTCCTTTTCTCGAAGTTGAAAGGAGGGTTGAAACAAAATGTTTTTTTACTCATTGGATGAGGTTTAGAGTGGCACTCCAGCAGCATTTGTATCACATAAGGAATGGCGGTTTAATAAATGTCTTCCATTCATTGGTAAAGAGGTATGAAAGATGGGTTCAAATTCTTGGAAAATATGTTGAAAAGTAGGTCTAATATTTGAAGATGATGATGGCAGATGACACTCAGATTGAAAATCGGAAATTCTCTCATAAAATGACTGGTGTTAGGTTGTGCACCCACACCTAAAGTATTTGCCATATTATAACAGTTGTGACGTGATTTGCTATATTTAAATACCGTTCCGGGTGGCAGGGACCCAGTGTTAAACAATCTTAACAAAAAAGCTAAAATATATTATTACCTGTTGAAACTTATACACGAAGTTGTTAAGATGTTGATCTTCATTATCTGAAAGTTTCGGGCAATTACATTTGAAAATAGCAAAGTTAGAGCGGGGCGTCCAAGACTTTTGGATCACCCCTCGTACATACAATTTCTCTATGAAATCCGAGGCTTATCCTCCCTAAATGACTTAGTTAACACCTTATGTCTTATGTCACGCATATCATCACCAGAATGCATACACATGTGATTTCTGAGACCTATACTGTCTCTTTGACTTATCACCTTTTCTTGTCTTGCTTTTTATCAATTTCATTCAGAGAAACCTTCCTGGACACATTTGCTTTTCAGGCTAACTGAACATTAACACTGAATCATTTCTGGGGGTTTGTTGCCTTCTTAATCCTTTCAACAACCTGGGAAAGATTTTGTTTGTAAAGTTTATCATTACTGAGATCAATGCTGCTATGTCTTGCTAGAATTTTTCGCACTTGAGCAGGTGCTCCCTCTGGAGGCCAGGCAGGGCAGAAACGCAACATAAGAGGAATAATTGGCTTTTTCAATGTCTCCGCTAAAGTGAGGTCTTTGATACAATTATCACTCTGCATGTATTTTGGTGTGATGCAACATATCACAACAATTGCGGTTTTCATCGTGCGTTGAATCTGACTCTGGAGGGTCTCAATGGCTGCCTCCGTTGCATTTGCTGAAACAACGCTCCGTGTACTCATACTACTGTGCCCTCTGGTGAGTGTAGCAGGACTTATATCTGCCCAACAACTGTAGCCATTGGTCTCTAGGTTGTGACGTATATCTTCTACCCGGGATTGCATGTCCCACTGGTAACTAATGAACACCTTTGCATCCTCTTCTTCACCATTCGGCCACTCATAGGTGGAGCCACTGGATGCTGAAAATACCAGGCAAATATTACCATGAAGATCGCATGGCCATTAAGTAGATGAATGCAAATTCACAAATACAAGGTTTATTTTTGAAAGTCTTATGATAGTTTGCTGTACATCTATACAATAAAAATCACTTAACAATATATAATAATCTAATAAAGATTTCTCTAAATTATAGATTTTCTTAATATTATCACATTATTGAGTCAAATATTAAAATGGTTTAATTAAGGGTATGTTGGAAAAGGAAAAAATATTCAAATAATGTAGTCAGTGGTTAAATAAAAATTAGTTGGTTATTTGTTTTATAGAAAATTTAGTTGGTTATTTTCTTTTATATGAATTATTTTGTTTAAATATGATATTATATTGAATTTTGATTATCTAGAGTATTGCATTATTCAATTTTTGAGAATTAATTTATATGTCAAGTTTTATATAAAATCTATAATCAATTAATTAATTAGGGTAATGTGTTGTTTATTGCTTAGAATGATATAGACACTCAAAAATATTATATGGAATGTTATCATTTTTTAAAGAGCAGAAATAAAATAGTCTTGCAAGACTAGAAAGTAAATTAAAATATGTATTAAATTATATTATATAAGCCATTTAACTTTAAGTAATATGTACCTATTTACCATTTTACATAAAAAGGATTTGTATTATGATGTTATATGATAAAGTTGTTTAAAAGTGACACCTAGCAATGACAATATTTTGGCATCTCATATGTTTCACACTAAATTTTAGATATAAAAATTGATTTTGTGGGTGAGTGGATGATTGGTTAAAAGGATGAGCAAAAATTATTTTTAGAATCCCATTGCAAGGGTGGATCTAGGTCGTTGTAGAATGGATTTCTGGTGTAAGATCTAGTGTGAAACTATTAAAACAACTCTAAAAGTTGTGAGATTTCATTTTTGTCATTGAATGGTACCAGGTCTCATGTATATCCCACCAGTATATTGGAAATGTGATCCTAGATTGCGACTTCTGTACGTTCCAGGAAAAATCCAAATAAAGCCTGTAGAAGTATAACAGCATTTGAATAGATATGTAACCATAGAATGATGTTGTAATCTTAATTTGGCTAAAATATTTTCTTTAAACACCAGTTTTATGACTAATGATTTCAGAACAAAAGAAGACAACGTAAATTTGAATACCATGGATTTCTATTCTAAAATTCAGAATTCAGAACTTTCCTTTTGATGTAGGCTTCTAAAGGCAAGAACATGACGTCGATATGCCATATCAATATCTAATTCTTAATTTACACACACAAGACATAGAATGATTCGATTAGCTACCACAAATACCATTATCAATATATCCCTATTGTCACAAAATCTATAAAGTAACTGATTCAATTCACAATTTATTCCTAAAGTCACATTTTGTCAGCATTCTTCAAATAAAATAACAAGCTTCTAATAATAGATTATTTGAGAAATAAAAGGCTGGATACAGAAAATTGATTTTTGCATTTTTCAGTTTGTCATTAATGCTCAATTTCTTGAAATACTACCTCCAACAAATTACAGAACTTATGAACAGTGATAAGAGACAATCCATATTTCATGTGACATGCATAGTTTGAAATGAACATGTCTCACAAATATAGGAATAGATGTGACACTCATAATTTGTGATATCTATGTTTTCTTATATGTACATTTGTAAATCATACGTGACATGCATATTTGAATAACATCCATATTCTCCCCTTCATAAGTTTGGCAACCAAAAGTTTTCATTGGATAACATAGCAAAGCCTAACAACAATGTTTGAATCTTAGTTTTGTTCATTAAATACAATAGTTCAGAAACATATGACTTTGATATTTTTCAAATTGCCAAACATAAACTGAAACAGGCTTTTAATAAATGGATGAAAAGGGGATCTTCTACATTACGTTGCCAAACTTATAGAGGGGAGTGTACGGGTAATAAAAACAATAGAACAACAAGCCAGGCCCGTAGCCAGGATTTGCCAAGGGGGGGGGGGGGGGGGGGTCAGTTTTCAAACATTTCCAGGGGGTTCACATTTGACAAATTTGGCCCAAATATGACTAAAATCACTTGAGAAGTGCTCCAAATGGTGAAAAACTGCATGGTTTTGAAAGAATTTTTGGCCAGGGGGGGAACCCTGTGAACCCCCCTGGCTAGGGGCCTGCAAGCTAAACCTAATATAGGAAAATATAATTATTAACAATATATCTCAAACTCTAAATTCTAGATTGATCTATAAATGACCTACATATGAATAATAATATGGATATGAAGTGGTAATAAATATGTTTTTTGGGGTGACAACACACAAATGAAAAACAATCAATATGCACAAATAACATACCATTCATTTTATGACAAGTCCATAAATCTGTATATGTCACTGTTCCCCAACTAGTGACGTCAAAGTAATAAAATAAGATTTTTTTTGTTTTCTTGATTTAAACCTACTTGTAAGTCAAGTTGCAGATCATCATTTGGCTCAAAGTCATGTTACGTATGTAACTTAGTTTGGGAACAGTTATATGTACATGTGTGTCCTAAATCCACTATTAAGTAATGAATAACTGACATGATTATTAACAATCAACAACTAAATGTTAATTCCACAATTTACATCATAAATAAATTACAGATCGAAAAAACAACATTGTTTTATTTTAAATAGTAATACACCTACCATTGGCATTAGCAAGGACTCCTAGAGGTTTCAGACCCTCCGCCATTTTGTTGAGATATGACTGCTCTAAAACGACACCAGCGACACTGCGTAGGGGTTTGATGTGGTGTTCTAACACATCCATACTCTCTGTATACATCTTAGTCTCAAAATCTACAGATGGACATTCGCCTGGAAAGTAAAATGATCATTATAGCGGTTTCTCAAGACCTATTCAAACAATATTCTAGATTTTTCTTGAACATATATTAGAAAATAATATGAACATATCTTTTATTGAATGATTTTATTTGTTTTCAAATATTATGAAACTTTAGCCAAAAAGTTATATAATAGCTGACTACTTACAAGCTCATATATCAAGAAAAGGTATACAATGTACTGGTTATATTTTCTTGACTATTGATGTAATGATATTACAAATGTATTTTTCATGTAAATGTTAGTAAAGAAGCACTTTTTAATAACTTTATTAAATAATTACCTAGAATTGCTTTTAAAACTGGTCTTAAAGTCGGCCAGGTATTTTTGAACATTGCAGTAACTAATTTCTTTCCTAACCAATCAGCAAATAGGACTTCATGGAATACAAATGGAGACCCCGTAGTAGCATCGGTTAATAGGACAAGAACATATGTCGCAGCTGCCATATGTGGCCCATTAAGACTCAAAAACTCATCCTTTGATTGGCCAAGTTTTTGGTGGTGTATCACCTGAAAATATAAATGGCAAATAATGTTATCAACCACACGTGCAAAGGGTATCCCAGAAGTTCTGTAAAACTAATATTATGATTGACACCACTCATCAGTTTTTTATCTAAAAAAACTTAAAGGCAGAATCAGATCTACAGGGGTGACAAAATTACAAGCAACATGTACAACTGACCTACCAATCTTTTCCTTACAATTTCAGAGACAATTATATTAATTTCAAAAAGATTCATGATAATGATGATTGGTGAAGTTATCACAGATTCAAAGTGCAAAAATGGGTGAAAAATGTTTAATTTCTCTCAAATAATAAGAATGGTAACCATTCTTATCGAAAAATAATACATTATTGTCAAAATCTTTAGTTTTCCTGAAATAAAGTGTGAACTTTGAGGTTTTTTGAAAATAGACATGACAAGGAATGATACGAGCCAGAAATATTCTAAAATTGAAACAATTTTTGGTTGGCCTGCTCGCTAGATCTGATTCTCTCTTTAAACAAACTCACATACAGAATGCAAGATTATTATCTGAATATTTTATCAAATTGAAAATTGCCTTAACATAAACCATAATTTCTTAACATAAACCATGCAAATTCATAAAGTTGATAAAACCATTGATGATTGTGTTTGCGTACACCATTGAAATAAACACAATAAAAAGAAAACAACCAACAACGACATATTTGCCTGTATAAGTATAGAAAATTTAGCTGTTCCCAAACACCAAACAATTAAGATCAAATACTTTCTTCAAACAAAATATTGATAAGTAAACTATGGATCAATTGGTTTTATGTCATTTGATATCGAACAAACAAATAGGGACAATAATAAATATTTCAAAATCTATATTTACACAAGGACTCAGCTATGTGGTGGGTTAAGGCTGGTGAGATAACTCTTGTTATGACTTTTGAGAGGTTTGCTTCAGATGAATTTGCTTAACATTTTGCCAGCTGGAGGATTGCAAGGATTTCATTCCATATTTCAACTCATTATCACTCAGTAATGCCCACTTTTATGTATAAAAAAGTAAAAAATACCACCCGTAAACTTCCTTAATCCATTGTTACGAATATATAAGATGCTTAGGTTTCTCAATGTTAAGACCATGGGGTTCTACAGTCACATCATTTAACAATATTACGAAATCCAAACTGATTGTGCCAAATTGTGTTTTTTACAACTAAATATAACAAAACAAGAAAATAAGCACAGATTGATATCATATTAAATACACTGATGCAAAAAAAGATATTAGAATTGAAATTTTAAGAAAAAGTCTGTAGAGTCTATGTATCTACAGATTCATCAGATTGGATGTTTCAATAGGTATGGAATTGTGCTTTCCTTGTTCAAGATAAACTCTTGTTCAACTAACATCTAAAGATAAAAAGTGTTCATACCTGCAGGCCTTTCTTCAGGAGATCTTGCTTCAAGTTTTGAGCCAACCTCACATCAGCTGGATCATATACCAAATAAACACAATTTGGTCTTGAACGTTGAGTTCTAGACCGAAGATGCCAGTTGTCATTTAACTTATGTTCCTTATCTAATGTAGCTAGAATGTGTTGCATCACCTTCTTCCGTACAACTCTACTATCAACCTGTAAATGGTTGATCATGTCCTGATCTGTCATGGACATTAAAAGGAACCCATCTACCATATATTCAGCCAGACTTTGCCTGTAGAACTCTTTAATGCCAAGTTTAAACAGCCATTCTTGAAGATCATTGTTACTCCATTGACAGATCTTTTTCTTTTTGTAATCTCCGGTGAATTCTTCCTCAGGAGTTTTTGGCTGAGGTGGAACGTTCATTGTTGCAATTCGATCTAAAGTTTCCATCAGGTTACCGACAGCAATTGAGCTTTTCTCCGCCAAACTTAATTTTGCTATCGCTTGGCTAGTAAGATCTATAATATTAGAATACAACGGAGTGAATGCTTTTGGGATTTCCATATCCTCAGATGATGAATATAATACTGTTAAAATTGTGATGGAATTGGGGTCGGCTTTTTGTCTCTCAAGGACAGTTTTTGCTTCATAAACTGAGACAGGGCAATTCAGATAGCTTTCCGATATGATCAAAACAGCTGCCCTGCATCTTTCTACAGCTTCCATTCTTAGTGAGAACCATATAGGACTGTCTGTGTTTTTCTCATCCTTATCAAACCAGATGTCTTCTGACAAGTTGTTTTCTTTTAATTGTTTTGTAGTCTCAACAACAAATTTTCTCTCAAGAAAACCAGCATCAGGAGAATATGAAATAAATATTGACTTCTTCATTTTCTTTTTAGGAGGGGGTGGGAGTGGTTTTGCAACTGATAACATTGTTGCCTCCGCCTTTCTTGCCTCCATTTTAACTTCTTTGATAAAACTAGATTCCTTTTGGCGAGAGTTTTTATTATTATATTTTTGCGCTGTATCAGGTTTTGCAAGATTGTCTTGATCCTGTTGTGGAGGTCTTGGAGAGATATTTCCATGTTCTTGTTTCAGTGGAGGCATTTCTATATTATTATGCTCCAATTTGATTGAGTCTCGAGTTTTCTGTCTGTTTTGTTTGTTCTTTTTTACCTTTGGATCAACATCATTATGATTATCATCCACATTTTCCTTGTTGACTTTGTTTACCTTTTCTTTCATATTTTCTGCAATAATTTCTCCAACACTTGCATCCTTCATTTTGCTCTCTACTTTGTTCATGTTAGTGTTCTCATCAACTTGTTTCTTTTGGTCCACTTTTTTAAGTTCAATGTTCTGTTCATTTTGTCGTTTTTCATTCTCTTTGATAGCGTCTAATTGTTTATTTTCTTCTCCATGCTTTTCTACCTTTTCGACTTCATCGGTATGACCTTGTACAGCGTCCTTTGTAGTTATAGCAACACTGCCTGACTGAACTGTGTCAGTCATTTTAGTCATGCTATAAGTCGTTTAATTCTTTTATATAAACATTAAAAATTAAATAACATGTATATCGTATGTCGACCGATTTGGCCATCATCATGGTAACACTGTAACCAAGCATGTACTGTTCGGTAATCCGATAGAAGCAATCTAATTTGTTTAGTAAAGTATTTCTCAAACAGGCCTTTATTCTTCTGAAAGGGCTTTATTTGATTGGCTGTTCCATTCACTCCCGTTGCCAGATGATCATATTCCAGCGTTCTAAAACAAATTTTACTGTCAAATCGCCATTATATTAAAACAATTTCAATATTCTTTATCTGAAATTAGTTATCAGATCACTGACAGTGAGGGCGAACGAAACAATGGCCGTTGTTGAAAAGTTTGTAAACTCTGGGAAGCTATTGCATTCTCCCCCCTCACTTGCATAAACCCAGCGAACTCCCGTGCAGTGATATACCGAGACACTGCATGGGAGTTCGTAAACCCAGCTGAACCCAGGCCGGGAACCCAGGATCCTTTGACCCAGGATAAAACAACTTCAGGAGCGGATCTGAAAACTTACAAGGAGGGGGGGGGATTTAAAGGCCTAAAATAAAAAAAATAAGGCCCAGAAAGGATCAGTTTACTAGGGTATTCTTGTATTTGCGAGAGCGACTTTCGGCTGTCGGCTATCGGATTAACCTAGCTACTATTTTATGATCAACTCATTTAAATTTGAATGGAGGCCAATGGAACAGTGCTGGTACTACAGGGGCGGATCTGGGAACCCAAAATTATTGTTGGCAGCCCCCCAGATCCGCCAGTGTACTATATGTTATATTATTATGAGCTTTATTATACTTGTATCCCACATTTAATTGGGCAAAGTGTACAGCGTAAACAGAAAAAATGAAAAAGCTTAACTAATTATCTATATATTATATTAACTAATCAAAGGGTGCTTGATCATTGCAAGATTTTATTGGATGCATTTCGTGTTTTTTTCTCTCTCGATAAAATATTTGATATATATTTTGCTAGTACATTTAATATTATTCCCTCTGAATTAAATAGAAACATTAATTCATGTTCATGTTTTCTAAATTTTGACAGTGTTTTTTTTTATTTTATCCATGTAACTTGACCGAACATCTTTTAACTTATTGCATTCTTATACTTATTGCCATAGGAAATGGCATTCTGAACCGGTTTTCTTGTTACACATTAAACATTTTCTTTCTTCAATAGGGGTGATTGGTTTTGTGTAACGACCTGTTTCGATTTCTAATTTATGTGCGCTAATTCAATTAGCTTTGTCAAGTTATTTCTGTCTATTTCATTTTTGATTAAATCCAAGTAGGGTTCCTTGTTCAATTTTGCTTTTATTATCTTATAAAACCTCAATTTACCATTATTTGATTTTATTTCAGTTTCCCAAAATTGGATGTATCTATTTTCCAGTAATTTCTTAATTTCTCTTGGTTTTAAGTTTGAATAGTTGGTGAAGTATTTAGATGAATTGCCCGTTTAATAAAGTTAAACCGATAGCCGCTGACAGCCGTTAGTTGCATTCCGGCGAATACAAGAAGCCTATTGGTTAGTTAGTAGGCCCTAGCCTACATTTTCAAAACCTTAAAACACGCAGGCAAAAATTAAAAATTTGGCCCAATCGATCCTGGTCATGGGTTATCATGGACTTTCAAGAGAGCTCCCCCAAAATAGCCATTTGTGAACCTTATATATACTGGAACCAATATCACGGGTGCATATTTTACACAGCGCATTGCCTTTTGTAACGTTTTTTGAAAGCCCTTGGTAAAACCCATCTCTTTTCAGTTGAAGATCCTATGTAAAGTTTAAAAATATTGACCAATCTCATCCAAATCATTAAGACTTAAAAACTGTTTGCGACATTTTTTGAAAAAGTTACTCTCGGAAAATAAGTAGTAGTTGTTGGTATCCAGTGCCAGGAGGAATTTTGACGGTTGATTTAAATCAAACAACACGCAAAAATGCTATAATAAAAGCGAACTCGTTCTCGTTGTTCTGCCAATTAACCCTAGCCCTGCCCAAGTCGGTATTTTTTTACTTATATCTGATCTTGAATTATTACCATAATAGAAATCAAGATAAGTAAAAGAGACCGACTTGGGCAAGGCCAGATTAACCCATATGATTGGAAATTCAACTAAGCTTACATAAAATGAATTCTTAAATACTCAGGAATTTCGTGCAAGGCATAATTCACAATTTTCGGACAAAAAGTTTCACGTATCACATTTTAAAAGTAAACGAATAGGCTAATAGCCAAAGTGGTAAACTTCGTATGGGGCCTTTAATTTTTTTCTCTGCTTGGATACACAATTATTTACTGGGAAGTTTTGGATACAGGGATTTAGATTAATCTTATCCCGAGGAAAATGTGTGTAGGCCTAGGCCAGTCTCACGAGAGACCAAAGGGACCGAGGGATATCGGGTCGGGGGGTAAGCTTAAACACCCTAGGGATTGACCCTGTATGATCAAAAAGCTTCCAACTTCTAAATTGAAAAATGGACTTTTAATACACTGATTTCTTTCAAAAATATTTTTCTATAAATAGCGAAAGTGTTCATATTAATAGTTTTAAAATTTGAAAGATCTAAAAACACCGGTGAAAAAGTAAAAAATTAATATTTAGAAAAATAGTATAAAATTTAATATCAAACTTTTTAACCTTAAATACATAAGGGTTGTGTACTGGGAGGTCTTGATTACAGGGTTAATCCCACAGGATTGATTAAATAGAAAAGAAAAAAAATGTAGAGAGAAAAATATTAGCAGAGCAAGGTTTCGATCCTCGGACCTCTGGGTTATGGGCCCAGCACGCTTCCACTGCGCCACTCTGCTTCACGACCAATAGTGTAAAATATAAAGTATATGAACAAATAATGATAAATAGTACAGTCAACCATACCGATTCAACCTAAATACTTCCCTGAAGGGGAAGTACTTATTGTCTTGTAAAGATATTTTTCATTAACTTACATTATCATAGAAATTTCACTCACCTCGAAAACTTCACATCGGGCGTGTCATTCATTTCATTTCCGGTTGGAATATTTCGCCTGCTCGGAAAATATCCTGATCTTTTCATAATTACTTACATTTTACATTATATGGAGAGATAGAACTATGCAAAGTGATTAGATATGTTTCAGCCGTAATGTAATATGATATTACGATTTGTTGATAACCTAATTGTGACATAAAAAACGAAAACAAGGTGACACGTAGATCAAATTCACATATTATCGCCCAATAAATGAATATTATTTTGCAAATTTATTGGCTATGTCGGTTTCGTCTGAGGACAAGAAGTTACGACTTGATAAAGACGATTCTACTCCTGGGAAATACTGGGGCAGGTTTGTAGACTATTTTTCATATTCTTGATGAATAAGTTCGTGATGATATTTTGTTCAGTGCACAGGCACTGAAAAGAAAATCTAGAGTAGATTTCATGGCCTGACTTTGTCGGTAGAACTTGAAAAATAAGATTTACCTGAAGATTAGGAGTCTTACTTACACTCTAGAGGTTAGAACACACATTTCAATGAAACCTTATCACCTTAGTTGCTTCAGCTAAAGATCATTTAGCACAATATCCAAGAGGTAAATTATGGATCGTGAAAATGAATGAGCAAGTTCCGGAAGTTTCAATACGATAAATTACCAAACATTTGTGAAAATTGAATCTTTGTTCATTGATTTTATAATTTACACGTGTGTGTATTCGTCTACTCTTTGGTCTAAATTATAAAGCATCACAAACAGGTCCTAAAATATTAATAGACTAATACAGCAGACGACCCATTCATACTTTCCATGCAGCATTTCATTCAGACCAATAGTTCAACTGTAGATCATGCACTTTTTCTATCTTAGAACAGGCCATCCTCCTCTGCCCTGTCCTAAACTCGTCTGCAAAAGAGACCACAAAACATTCTTTTCAAATATTTTGATTATTTTTACATCAGACATTGTTGGATGATATGTCACAAAATTAAAGTACAAGGTCAATACAGTATTTCGTGAAAGAGGCAACGCCGTCCCGGAAGTAAACACGAGGAAAATGGAAATGAAAATTGTGAAAATGGAACACAAATTTCAATCAAGTACTGTGCTTATGCTTCATCATGAACAAAACATAGCTGATATGGTTTCATTAAAATGTGTGTTCTAACCTCCTAATCTTCAGATAAATCTTATTTATCAAGTTCTACCGATGAAGTCAGGCCATGAAATCTACTCTACCACCCACTTTCAGTGTACCTGCAAGGAAAAAGGATTTCCCCCCATGTTGTATATGTATACCTTACACCTAATCTGGTATCTGATAATCGGAGCAACACAATGCTTTTTCATGTTTATAAAAATAAATTTTAGACAGTAGAATGCTCTAACCATAACGTGACCATGGAATGTACATTCACAACATATCTGTTCTTTGTATTGACATATTGTAAACCATAAATTACCATTAAGAGTCAAAATAATAGATATTTAAAAGAAAATTAAATCATAAAATACATGTAGTGACACTCATGAAAATTATAAAGGTCACTATGAATGGCAGATGTTTTTGTCACTATATCCAATTCATCAGTCTTATTAATATGTTGATTTAGGATTAGTGAGAAATGGTAATTCAGTGTCTTATCTTTGCATGGTGGATTTTCATTTTGGTCAATTCTACTATCTGCTGCTGTGCCTCAAATTCAATGTCTTTTTCTTTTTAAATTTCAAAAGTTATCAAAATAAGAATGAAATAATACAGTTTGTCACTCTCTTTGAGCTCTCTTCCTACTAAAGTTTTCAACAGAAATATTATCTTTTCCCCTAGGATGACAAATGAAATAGAGGCTGTCTTTAATGCATTGTTTCATGCTTTTCTTGCTGCAAGAAGAAAAATAGTGAAAAGATTATTACTATAATCCATATGTAATCCCATGAAACGAAATCACAAATTCAGATGTAGAGAGGCTGATCATTATTAAGAAGGTCATTTTGAATTTTTTGCGATTTGTTTTGGGCACATTTGATGTTTTGCTCTTCAAATTCTGTTTTTAATAGACTAGATGCGAATAGAAATAATCTTGATTTACGTCATTAAATATTCAAAATTCAGTCAAAGTGATGTCATATTTGAAATCTACATGTAAAAGTATGTCTAGAAAATGGTTTCGAAGATGGTTTATCAACTTTGAAAATTTAATTTTTTTTGAAAATGTGACTTCTAGCTCGGGTTGATTCCTCATAGACCCCATGTTACAAAATCACAAAAAGTTAAATATCTTTTCTTGTATTGGACAGATAACATTTTCTTTTACTGGACATATTTTAATTTTCATAACTATTAGATACATAAGGGTTATATAAAAATTTAGCCACTACAACAGATGTAATTTAAGTTAAAGGGAACTTTCTAATATACCCGCCATGTTATCTGACCCGAACGAGCCACCTGGTGGCGAAACTGGTAACTACCTACTCGCATCTGCGTTATTGTACAGTGATCTCCCCAGGATTTTTTCTCAAGTGGGTGCAAAATTCTCATTTTCACAATTCACACTGAAATTGGTCAAAACATGCCTATATTCATGATTTTTCTCATTTACAAGTGGATGCAAATGGATTTTCAGGTGGGTGCAAGCCTGTTTTTAAAATTTCAGGTGGATGCTGCACTCACTTGCTTTAATGCTTGGCAGGTCACTGTGATATAACTGTTCTAGCTGTTACTTCTGTTCTTTCAGTATCTCTTTTATTTGTGAGAGTAAATGAATATCTCACATATATAACTGTTTGTTTATATTTGAGGTGTTTATGTTCATCCATGTTCAACAATAATACCTTTCTTCATCATCTTCTAATTTGTTTACCCATGTTTCCATTATGTCATACATTTATGTAAACTTTATTTCAGAGACGAGAAGAGACTATGGGGTGCCTCTCTGTTTATAAGCTGTGCATCCCTCTACACAACACGTTCTGTTATGCCTATGAGCATTGTATCAGTAGCTAAAGATGTCCACTGGGACAAAGTACAAAAGGTCTTTAAATTTAAATTAGTCCAATTTTACATTAAAAATAGTACCCTGGTCAGTTTATAACCTGAGCCATATAATAAAGGAAAGGCCAGATATAATATCAGTGTGTCATTTTTATGTAAACTTAATTAATTTTATCTGGAGGGGTTCTGATCAAGCCCCTATCATTTTTGTTTATTACATCAGTACAGCAAATGAAGATTTTATTTTCAATCTATGTACATAAAGACACGCACATATCGAGAATTAGATTTTTATGTAAACTTAATTAATTTTATCTGGAGGGGATCTGATCAAGCCCCTATCATTTTTGTTTATTACATTAGTACAGCAAATGAACATTTATTTTTCAATTCATGTACATAAACAGACGTACATCTAGAGAATTTGATAGATCAGATTTATATCCAACAAAATGAACTTCCCAGATTAAAACTAAAAGTCCACTTTTCCTGAGAAAAGTGAAGCAAAGTGAATTGAACAAATCAATAGAAATATGAACTCTAATCATCACATCCTGAAACAATTTCCTTTTCCAGGGCACAGTGCTTTCAGCCTTCTTTTGGGGTTACTGCATGACCCAGGTTTTGGGGGGCTATCTGAGCGACCGTATAGGAGGTGATATAGTTCTCATCGTCTCAGCTACAGGTTGGGCTCTGATTACATTCTGGACTCCATTCATAATAAAGCTTTCATCCGATCAGCACACTGCAATGGTTCTAGTTGTGATATCTCGAGTCCTTTTAGGTTGTTTTCAAGGTAAGTGATGACATATGTACTATTGTTGTTTATTTAATGTTTTACATTTTAAACACAAAAAGCCCTTGCATACTTTATCATTTATTTGGTTTCCGCATGACAGTCATGTAAGATGAGATGATGATGATCACCTTTTGTTTCATGTGCAATATTCCCTGATCCAGATGTCCTTTGATTAATTCATTTTGACTGATCAATGATTCCCTATGATGGATCCTCAATGACCGATTCCCCATGTCTAATCACATATGACCACTTTTCATAAAATATCACATATGTGCCTTATCAAATCATGCATTATGGTTTTTTTCAGGTGTACATTTTCCCAGTGTTACAAGCATAGTGTGTAGAAAAGTAAATGACCAGGAGAGGTCTCTAATATATAGCTTCATTACATCAGGGTCTCAGTTAGGGTAAGGACATGGAGGATATTGCCCTTAAATTAGAAAACTTTTGTTAGTGATTACTTCTCTTTAATTCTCTATGATGAACATTTGAACACATCTCTTAACACACTTCTGCATCTTTTATACACTGAGGTCATTCAATTTGTGTTTTTATTTAAAAACAGTATATTTTCACACTACCTGTTTTTAGGGATTCAAGATTGTTCGCTTTATTCACTCTTTAATATATTAAATCTGTTACAGTAGTGCTTATATTGACATTTTTTTTCGATTCATTAAAGTTTCAAAAATTTCAAGATTATTCTAACACAATGACAACTTTGAAAAAAGTTGAGATCTATGTCTTTTTCTCCCTTTAACTGGCAAGTAAATAGCTTGATTTCATGTTTTTGCAGGATATTGATATGTGGGAGTGTTGGCTCCATACTGTTAGAAAGATTTGGCTGGTCCAGTGTTTTCTATGTCTCAGGTGAGTAACCACCTTGATTCAAATCTTAAGTTTCTTTGTTCATTTAAAGGTTGAACACACAAAATATTGTTTTGCCATGCTTGATAAAGTCTCAGCTGCTCCAAATATGGAAAAAGAAACATCTTTTCAGGAATATTGAATTTTCCTTATAATATGAGAATATAATATGATATATAATATGTACACATATGTATACACTTCTGTTTGGATTTTTGAAATTAATGATTACATGTCTATATCTCCTCAAGTATGTTTAATGAATGAGAATGAAATATGATGTAAACTTCTGGAGTTGAAGATTGTGAAAAGAGAATTTTCGTGTTCTATTGAAATCAATAATTTAACAATATCAGTCATAAAAATTGGATGAAAGGAAAACAGAACTTGTACTACCTCTTATTATATTTCAGGATGTGCAGGTATTTGTTGGGTGTTTTTCTTAAAGTATTATCTTGTGGCACAACAAAGAAAAAAACAAATAGTTTTATCAATGAAAGACAATATCGTAGCAGGTGAAAAATCTCACACAGATTCTGGTGCAGTACCTTGGTTATTGTTCTTCAGAAAACCTCCATTTTGGTAAGTTAAAATATTTACATTTTAATATACATGTACTATCAAATTCTTGAGCTGATGAGCTTTTTGTGGTTCTATTATATTAGAGCTCTTCTATTATTTTTTTGTGAAAATTTCAGTAAAATGATATTTTTGTTGTAAAGTACGATATTATAATAAATAAATTTTACTTGACTACAATTGTTGACATTTGGATATCTTACACAAAACTAATTTTACATTGTATCAAATTCCTTTTATTTTTTCCAGGGCAATCATAGTTGCACATTTCTGTCATACCAATGCTTTCTTCATCTTATTCTCATGGCTCCCAACCTATTTCCATGACAACTTCCCTGATGCTAAGGTAAGCTGTGTATGGCATATACAATATAAGCAGCTGTGTATGGCATATACAATATAAGTAGTTTTGCCTCAAGAATGTGTACCCCTCCCTCTGTATTTCACACCCAACGTAACAGATGTGTTGGAAGTGAAGTACAGGGGCATGCACAGTCTTCAAGCAAGACTATAATATAAGCAGCTGTGCGTGAGGTGTTTAAGGTAGAAACAGAGATAGAAATTGTTTTATTTCCCAAATTTTGCCTTGATTGGTATTTTTCCACCTAATATCTCATTCTTTGTTATGCCTATATTCCAATAATCCAAAGTATCATTAGTTATTACATACTATTATAGGAAATGCAGAGATTTTGATTTACCATACACAATGTTTTTAATGAGCATTCAATAAGTCATATGTAATATCATATTTCCTTTTCTTTGGTAGGGTTGGGTATTTAATGTGGTCCCATGGATTGTGACAATACCCAGTGCAATACTTGGTGGTCATCTTGCCGATTTGTTAATAAGAAAAGGTAAGTTTAAAACTATTAATTGAATGTGCTCATGTAGGAGGGGAGTTTACATCTTATATTGGTGATAAGAAGTTTTACTGTGTTACTTATGAATTTTCAATTAAAGGTGCAACAAAAACTATAGACAAGTCGAGCATAACTCTCAAAATTATTTGCAATTTTTTTTACATTTTCCATGTTAGATTTATTTTCTAATAAGAGTCTGATAGTTCCTACTTTATTTCTGTATAATCTTTAGAGATTTAGGAGATTATCTTATCAATTTAAATAACATGCATCTTTTATTTTTAATAACTTCCATATCTGATCAGATTTCGCTTTTGTTTTTCATAAAACATTTTTTTCGATCTTTCACAATTTCAAAGTAATTTCATATTCAGTTTTCATACAAAAGTATAGTGCATAAAATATACAGGCTATGATATCCTCTTTAGTCTTTGTTGCCACTTTAAAATGAATGACCGATGTCTGAGATATAAAAGATGTCTTTTAGTTTTGAAATTTTTTTGCATTGGTACCAGTCGAAATTCTGCTGCAGTTGAAATAAATTTCTTTTCACCTTTCAGGATACAGTGTTACATTTACCAGAAAGTTCTTAGAGGTAAGTCTACTATAGTCTTCTGAGAAATTTAGAAATGCCTCGTCAAATGTGTAATCTAGGGAACATTTCCGGAAATGAAGATATGGTTCAGACTTCAAACTATTGTCCTTTTAATACGAAGCCATAAAAGCTATGAATGTTCTGGTAATTACACACCACTGACTTATTTATTCTTAGACATTTTACCTTTATGAATGCATACCTCTAACACTTTTCTTACTCATACCTTAATCGCTATTTGAAAGAATGAATAAGCATAAAATCATGCAATTGCTAAATTGACTAGTTATATGTACATGATTAAGGGGGGGGGGGGCATTCAATCTCTCAGATATGTACCTGTTAAGGACAGATTATTTTAATTTGTATCTTTTTATTATTGATCATTTCAGAAATTCATATGAAATGCATACCCATTGATCGTCAAGACCTTGGAGACTCTATTTTCCAAGCAGATAGTCTATGCACCTTAATATGCTGTGTGCTATCTTCAGGCCTGTAGCAAGGGGGGAGTTCGATGGGTACGACATTCAACATTACGTAAAGGACCGTGTTTCTTTACAGAATGTTTTCAATAATTGATTTAAGAAAAAAACATTGTTGAATTCAGTTCACCATATCGATACCAATCCTTTGTAAAAAATGAAACCCCAAGGAATTTTCCAAAAAGTGAACCCCCTTGGCAAATCCTGGCTACGGGCCTGTTCTTGTACTGAAAAGTGAATAGATTTTGAAGTTGCATGTAAATATGAAGCATATGGATCAGCATTCGGAAATTGCATTGTCAGTTGCTGCATTCTGCCTGATTTGTCCAGTGCACACCGAAACACCCTGAAAACGGTAAAGTCAGATACCATTGTCACAAATGGAGGACGTAACCATGGGTTCAACTCATGGTTTCAACTCTTCGCCAATCACTTGGTTCTCATTTCATGGGACCTTATCATCTTTTGTGCATGTATTATGCCTTTGTGATGGTGTATTATATGAAATCCCAATTTCCAACTTTACTGACTTAACCATTGTCAGGGTGTTCCGGTACTGTGTGAATACATTTGAAATTAAACCATGTAGGCTTTTGCTACAACAAATGAACAATTGTACATTGGATAGTTTCATGATGTCACAGATTTTAGCATTAGGTCTAAAAACAAATCAACAGTAGTGTACGCTGATGCTGTTATTGTAGTTAGAATGTACCAATGACATAATATCCAAAAGGTGGCATGATTCACCAAACTTCTTTATTAAACCCATGTTTTCAGACCATCTGTGTGCTTGGAATGAATTTTGGTATGCTATCAGTCACACATTGTGACAACATACACAGTGCTGTAGTGTGTATGATGATAACTACGGCAGCATCAACTTTCCATATAAGCAGTTGCAATCTCAATGCTGGAGATATTGCCCCAGAATATTCTGGTTCTGTCTTTGGTAAGGACTAGTGAATGTATAACTTTGTCCCTTGTATAATTTTGTGTGCTATATGTTTACTGTGTGGATTAGAAGATAAGGCCGGTGTAAAAAAGTAGATGTTTAACATACCGCCACATTTACTTTAAACATCATAAAAAGCAGGCCCATATGGCACTTTGGAAAAAAACTGATTATAAAATGGGTGGCAACGTTCTTTCTGCATTACACTACACATACTTGGGGTGTCTAACATACACCAATTGGGCAAAGTCCTGGGAAAGTCCAATGGAGTCTCATGAGATCCCACACAATGGATCTACGAGTAATAATCCCCCATCATGCCTAATTGGTGTATATTGAGGTTTTCTGCTTACTTCTTATATTTGCACAAAGGACTTGGAATGCAACCAGGTTTTGTTTTAAAAACATGTCCCTTGAATGGTTCCATCATTCAAGGGCATTATTTTGAAAGTTTTTCGGAGAGACATTTTATTGATAGTACATTCTCAATAATATTGACGGTATTATTACATGGAAAAATATACCTGAAAGTAGGCTTTACCATCATTTGTATGTCCAGGCATCACCTCAGCAAAAATACACTGCTTTTCAATATTACACTCCTAATAAATCTTACATTAAGTTCCTTTGTTTCATATACATGTAGATACAGGGATTTAATGCAGGACACTTTTGTGCTTACTTTGACATGAATCACAGCTTACAAACAAATCTGTCTCTCTCTCTATATATGCTCTATGTTGCGGGTTGCAGATTTGGAAGACCAGTCTAGGGCACATTCACACTCAAATAAGCTGCAGCTATCATAGACAAGATAAGCTTCCTATGTTATTTCATTTAGAAAATAATTGGTTGAAACCTTTCATTTCTGTTACAGACTCTCTCCCAGGTCCCTTTGGCCATCTGCCTGCTGCTCATTGGACAAAATTTACATAGTTACACTAACAGTGTCATACTTATGACTATCGCAGTTTCTGCATCCTCATTGCACAAGGCTGGGGTCATGGTGAACTCTACCGATATTTCACCCAGACATCCTGGTTCTGTAATGGGTAAGACCTGCAGAAGATTTCCTTCAGAGCATGCATGGCCCTTCACTATTTCTGCTTTTGGTTTGCATATTGAAATCTATATTTTGATAGAATTTCAAAATTGCTCCTAAAACTGCTAAATGGTCATGTTTTTTCAAAAGAGTTGGGGAGAAAAACCAGGGAATTTTGGTCAGTCAAAATGATAGTATGTTACCGGTAGTTGGAAAAGTTTATTGAAGAAAAATTATTTTTTATATGATTTCATGATATTCCTTTTTCACTGAATTCTGTTTATAAATTGCAATCACTGGATTCTTGTCGAGGGATTAGCAAGGGAAAGGTGACAAAAGTGTTCATTGTTAGAAAATATAAATCTATAGCAACCTTGGTTTTTCTGAAAACATCATTTATTGCAATCAACGGAAGCTTGAAATAAGTGGAATGTTTGTCTGTCAATCAATGGTCACGTGTACATATGTACATGGATGCATTTATTTTGCGGAATTACTGATTGGGTCAATCTTTGAAGGCAATTAGTTTAGTACATGTGTACTTACTAACATTTTTAATTAAGCCTAACAAATACTCCTTCTTCATAAACAACTAATCATGTTATGTTTTTCTTTTAAATTGAGGTGATGAGGGTGATATGTACCTCCGTTCAACATTACTCCAATGAGATCTTTGACTCCAAATCCCAACCTCATAGAAAATCCTGGGCCCAATATTATTTTTATGTAGAAGTTTTACGCAAAAAATCTGTCCTTTCAGACTATAAGTTTGGTGGGTGTATCTGCTTGTCTAGTTGCATTAGCTGAAGCGAAGAACTATCATGTAGCAATGACTTTATTGACCATGGCCACTAGTTTTCAAGGGTTCCATAACAGTGGCAGTTTCATGAATCCACAAGACATAGCACCTAGGTTTGCAGGATCTGTCTTTGGTAAGGGATCAGCAAAATAGATACTAAATAAGGACTTTAAGTTATTCCATCTGAGTGTATGCAAAATTTAAGATAAGATGTTACGGTATGAGACAAATACTATAGTATTTGTAGTACCAAGGAGTTAGGAGAGATATTCCCATTTACATTCAGCTTTTTTCAAGGTTACTTCTACTGACACATTTAATTTATTTTTACATTATATTGATTGTGGAGGGCCTGACACATGTACTGTAAGGATTGGGAGATGTTTGCTTTATTTGTTTAATATATAGCTTTTGTTCTTATTTGACTACTTGCTTTGATAACTTACAGGGTGGGCCAAAATGTCCATTATTTGTATTCTATAACTTAAATAATACATAAACAAGATTGCTAGAGATGCAGCAATCACTTTCACAATTATTCTTAAAATGCGATAAATCTTCAGAGGTTACTGAATGAAATATATAAAAGAGCTGTGGGGTCTTAATGAATTCATACAGTTCAACGGATATTAGAATAACAATCTTACACTGTTATAAGTCATGCCTCAAGTAATGGTGCCAGAATGACATTTTAACCAGTCTGTCAAAGAGACAAATAGATAAGATGATTGGGACTGGGAAGGGTAAGGTGATCGGGAAAATCTGCATATACATACTGTATGCACAGTATATAAAGATCATTACTCTTGGAAGAAAGATCAGTAAGGTGCAATATTGAGCCTACAAATGATTAAACTTGCTTTTTCAGTGATCTTTATTCTGTTATTATATTTTGCTAATCTTCAAACAAAAAATACAACATTTGAATTATTCATGTTTCAATCAGAATTTGGCATACCTGTTCCATTTTTTTGTGTTTGAACCAGTCCATCTAATCTCCCAATATTGGTCTCAATACCCTCCCAATGATTCAATGTTTAACAGAAATATAAAATACTCAGTAATAATTGTGGCACCTTACATAATGTGTCTCATCGACAGATTGTTTAACATGTTTAAGAAGTTTATCTGGTTCCAACATAAAAAAAATTACTGTAAAATTGTAATGCCTTGAAATACTGCCTTGAAACAGGAGGCTGGATTCTCACCCCTATTGACTGTTGACATTACTCATTTAAATACCACTATGTCTATATAAGTATGTCATTTTGGGGTTTATTCATAGATTGCTGCATTCCCTGTGAAAATGTTAGCAAATTCAAAATATGGTCGTTTTTTGGCTCACCCTGTATAATGTATGATTATTTGGCTATATCCGCTGCATTAAATATATTCCAAATGACAAATTAATTATGGCAGACATCATGCGTTTTCAACTTTTTTATAAAAATGTAAATAATAGTAATAGTTTTAATTTATATAAACATGATCTTATATATTTAAAAAAAATGTCATGAAAATGATCTTGTTTTCTATATTTTGTGTAATCTACAAGTACCTGGCACATGTATGTTAAATACTTGAAATCATTGTCTTATTTCTTCTTGTTTCTTTCAGGTGTTATGAACATGGCAGGTGCTATTCCAGGTAGGCAGTTTTGTGGACACTTTTTTAGCCTGTTTTTTGAACCGTTATTAACTTGTGTTTGGTAGTATTTAAAGTTATTTCATTGTTTTGAAGAAGTGGTCTCAACCATGGGCTTTCAATTTAGTTGAAAGCCCATGTCTCAACCTCATATTTTTCTGAAAGATTTCCTTCCGAAGGCCTGATATCCTATATTTCACTATATTTTCAGGCTTTATTGGAGTATACATCGCAGGATATATCCTGGAAACGACAAAAAGTTGGGCAGCTGTATTTAATCAAACTGCTGTAGTGACAACAATAGGCTGGTTGACATTCATGATATTTGGATCAGGAAAGAAGATAGTTTGATGAGCTCCAGTAAAAACAGAATTCACCAAATTTTTACTACCATTGATGAGTCTACCACTATGACTCTCTCAAGAATGATAGAATTATCATCTCATAGCAGACATGAATATTAGCGACAAACAATCCTTTAACAAGTGGGTATTGTATCAACTGTGCACCCACTTGATAATGTGACAAAATCAACAAAAATTTCCATATTTTGACTTATTTTGGCTGAATTGCGAAAATAAGAATTACTTCCTTGAAGGTAATGTGCTGAGGTGAACACTACATGTAGGCTACATGTATTCATACCTGGATTATCGAATTTATTTCTTATTCACTCATGGCAATATGTCTTGCCAACCAAAACATTCCACCGTTGTAACAATACAGGAAAGAAGACTCAACAATAATTACCTCACTGCCACACTGAACAAGTTGAAAAAGAATTTCATGAATGTTTAGCACATTAGGGACCCAAAAGCAAATAAATTGAGATTTTATAATTTGGTTATGATTTATGGTGAAAAAGAGACTGTTATGTTGAGTAAAACTTGTCTAATAGTTTCTAGGATTTTTTAAAGTAGTTTGTAAGTCATTGGTTTTGGTAAGAAATCTTTTCCATTACATTACAACAATTTGTTTGGCATTCGGTAGTTCTGGTACATTGAAATATTACATACTTTTGGAATACAACTTTTTTAAATTACACGGGAGATTTATATTTATTACAATGATATGATTTCCATATATATTATAGGATTTCAGTCTGTTAATTTTTTCATTGTATTTTCTGTGATATTGATTTATCCTTGATTAACCTAGGATATGTCACACACTGTAGGCTAAAGTACTATACTATTGATGCACTTGATTTTATATGTACCATTCCAAGATATAATATTATTACCGGATTTTATATAGCCACAGTTAAGTGTCCCTAATTCTTGGTATACCAAGAACACACCCTTGGTATGTTTGCCTTTTTAATAAAGCTCATGAGCATTACTTTGAAAGTATTTCCAGTAATTATATTGATACCCTATTTGAAGTCTGTTGGTGGACATACAGGGTCTCCCAGAAGTAACAGGACTGGTGTTGCCATTTCTTTAATACTGTAATTCTCCTTAATTTGGTGGCTGTTTAATTTGGCTGATCCGCCAAATTGTTAAAGTCCACCAAATCAAATCGCTGCCAAATTCCCAGGTAATTTTAGTACCATACAAATTGGTACTATTTGCGGATTGTAATATTGCAAGTCCGCCAAATTAAATAGCAGCCAAATGTTCAAAACTGTGAATCCACCAAAATAAGTAGCACCAAATTAAGTAGCCACAGTACTTCTTTAATCCTTTTAAAATGTCTCAGAACGTACCTTCATGTATTATGATTAGAATTGCAAAGTTTAGAAAATAGTTAAACAGTTGCTATGGTTACATGACATCATTGTATCCAGGCAACATATTTAAACACACAGGGGTGTCAGAGTCCTATAACATTGAATTATGTCTAATTAGTTGTATTTTGAACAAAAACGTGAGATTTATACATTGGTTTCATCTGCTACTTTTCTTACATACCCCTACTTTGAAAAATAAGTCACCAGGTTAGAACCGGAAAGTGGTGCTTTAACAATGTCTCACACACTTTAGCTGATGTGCCATGAAGGGTAGATCTGACATCTCAGAGAAGGTTCACCCTTGCTCACAAAGACATGATCTTACAGATCAGGAGCGAGGCTACATGGACAATGCAGCGCCAGTTTCTTGAAAAAATGCCATGGGTACTCTGTTGTCACATTACTATATTAACCATTACTCTTAAAGGCCTTCATAAAATATTTTCACACTTTGCATATCTAACCCAATCTATGGAAGTACATGTAAGCTATGTTTTAGGACAAATTGAACAGATATATTTGGTGTAGAATTGACAAAATGCTAGCAGCAGTCCTGTTACGTTTGGTGAATAAAATGCCAAATGGACCAATAGCGAAAGGACCTTATTTTGAGAACTGCACATACATGTAATGCACATATATTTTATCTATGTCTTACTTTATTTAATGGGCACAATATATTGTAGACTTTAATATTTTATTGTTTAATTAATAGACTAAGACATTATAGAGACAGAGTATGTAGAATAACGTCATACTTTGTAAGCATTCCATAATCATACAACGATAAACATGATAAAGCATGGTTTATATTTAAAAATATTTATGTTTAACCTAATGTTGCATTGATCATGATAAATGATAGTAATGAATAAAAAAAATACACGATGGGCTCAATAGTCCTCTATTTTCATAGATATTTATTTAAGAATTATGTCATGATGGACTGTCAATATTTTGTTTTGAACACGGTGAAATCTGTGTTTGACACCTCAAATACACTAAACAAAGCTAGAGATTTTACATGAAGTTAATGGTTCACTAGACATTGAAGTGTTCCACCTATGGAGTTGTTCCACCTATGGAGTTGTTCCACTCATGAAGGTTTCCACTCTCCACATGTTGAACAGTATTTTCTATTTATAACAATTGTAAAAATGCATTGTAGAAATGGCTGGTTGCAGTATTTGAATATATATATGTGGGATGAAAAAATTAATTTTGTTCTGTTTTGTTTAAGGTTGACCTAAAAATTAAATGACTACCTTTAATGGACTAATGGGGGATCACACTTGAAAACATTAGGGGGGATAAATTATACATTAGGAGTTTGTATGAAAATATGTAAGCAGGATTTTGCATACAAAGTTTTAAGATGGAAAATCCAAAATGGCCACCTTCCACCTCGCATGCCCAAAAACTTTAAGCACTTCTTTAAACTGTCATACCAAGAAGCCCCCCCCTGAAAATTAGAAATGAATTCATGAAATGGTTATGCTGAAAATGGGCACATAAGACTGCCCAAAAACTAATCATTTTTAGATTTTCATACCAAAAAACATCCATGTGAGTTTAAAACCAATGACATTCTTGCATGGAAATGCATCAAAACAATATTTCAATTGGAAAAGTATCAAAACAAGATTTCAATTGGAAATGCATTAACAAAATTTCATGACTCCTGCCCACCCACCAAGTAAGCCGATCACAACCCAGGGGTGCAATAAAAATCAGTTTTAAGTACAGGGTGACCCCAAAAAAACCCCTCTAAAAGTGTAATAATTTTTTAACAATTATCCTATCAACCCAATGTTTTATGTGCATATGGATTATCATATGATAAGGTTGTTACACAAAATTGATTATTTGTGATATCATGGATGATCTTATGTCTTAGAATGTGTCCTTTTTTCGAAAATGAACATTGAGACAAAATCATATCTTGAACTTTTATGTGAAATTCAGAAGGAAAATCCCAAGAAGATGTGAAATCAGTCTCATTTAGTATTTTTATTAAAAAATGAAGAAAAGGCAATGTTAAAAAAAGAGCATTGAATGACATATGTGATATCAGTCAAATGTTCAATAATGAGATAGAAGAAAAAGAATGGAGAACTGTTAAACACCTAAATGGAAATGATGATCAGCTTAGCTATCAAGGGACCAGGTTTCTAAGAATAGGAGTACGAGCAAACCTGAACATGTTGAATGCACTCTGTGTGATTGCATTGAACATACTCATAGTTCCAAAATAACTCAGAAGGGACAACCATACCTAAGGATGGCTTTAAAGGTTGCTGGGAAACTTCCTTATTAAAGATCTCAACCTCTATACTCACAAAATGCAGCTTAACAATAAACCAAAAGAATGTGATAGGTTTAAACAAACAATGTGTAACCCCCCTATCACACCAAACTAGTTCTTACCCGTTCTTGCCAGTCCTACGAAAATGTCGTAAAACGGGTTCAATCTGGCTGCAGTCGGGATACATGTCTAAAATAATTAGCTACTTCGTTCATAAACAGTCTTCAATACGTCCATCTCATTCGCAGTTCGTTCAGGTCGCACCACGTCGGTGTGCAACGTAGTATAAACTGTCCCTTAGTCTAGAAGGTCATCATGACCTGATTACAGAACGGTATGGTCGCCATCGAATTTTGAATCGATTCAAAATTCTAAATCACATACCCCGTCCGGGAAAGTCCATGAAGTTTGTAAACAGACCGTAGAATGTTGTAGCTATGTTCATTCAGTTCGCACACAGTTTAAAATCGATTCGGCAACGTTTTGATGATCACCAGAAAATTTTGAGCATGCTCTAAGTGCTGGAGGACCTACTCGTTCTAGTAGTTTCATGAAGTTTGTAAACAGATCCCAAACGGTTCTTAGAGGGTTCTTAGTACATCAAATCCGTTCGTGCACAGTTTAAGCCCGTTTTCGAGAACGTAGTGAGAACTAGTTTGGTGTGATAGTAGGGTAACCCTTTGGTTCACATGATCCAAAAGTGGGCACATTTTTTAATTGGCTATAACAAGAAGAATATTGAATGTTATGTCAAGAATTGATCTCACATTGTCATACATAGATTGTAGCTTCTGTACATATAAATTAAGCTGATCACATATGTATTAATAAAGAAATTCCTTCATTTTTGGAGGGTTATGTTTTTTGGGTCACCCTGTATGAGCTTATAAGGAAGGTACACTAAAATTCAATTTTAAACATGATTTATTATTTATTAATAAAATATTTGTTTGGCAACAAATACTTGATGGTAAACAGTTAAAATACAATTTACACCAAAATGGGCAATGTGGGGGCCAGTGAAAAGTCACATGGGGGCCAAAACATGTCACGAAACATTGAGATATTGCTTATCAAGCCATTATCACATTCAGACATGTCAGAAGAATAAAACAGTTGCCACATTACTGATTAGATGGCATGTCCAATTACATGATAATGAAGTAGCAAAAGTCACTTTGATATTTTATCTTTTCTTTCCTTTTTTCACCACAACACTCCATCCATCCTCATCAATGTTTTTGTCTTTGGTTTGCATATTGGTGTCATTCAGTTCTGATTGACCATTATTCATGGAGGCTGGCCCAGCTTTGATAGTAAGGTCAAGTTGCTGCATCTCACTCACTATATCACTAGGAGTATAACATTCCATAAGATCATCCCCTTCATCTGAAATGTCAGGTTTTTGAACACTATTTTGAATTGCAGCTTTTGGAAGTGTTCCCAATTCTTTTAATGCATCTGCTCCTTTTCCATTGCTGCACATAGCATAGTGTTTACAAATAGTCTTTGCAATACAAGTAAGACTTCCATCTTCTGCAACCATGTCAAATTCATTGTTTGTAATGGCTCCAATGAACTCTTCAAGTTCGAAATCTTCAATGTCTTTGTTGTCTTGAAACCACTGGTATACGGCATCTACCATCCATTTTGATTTTTCGACACTGTTGATACCACCAAAGCCATGCTGAATGGCCAGCTGCAAAGCAGTCCAGCTGTCAAATACACGAGAAATGGCAGAATAAAAGATGGGGATCCCATTAGAAGCCATACTCTTCTATAAAATTGGCAAGTACTCGCTGACTAGGTTGATATAATATTGCACTCTATACGGAGCCTTTAATATTTTTGATGCAGGGTAGTATTGCAAATATACCACAGAATAGGCTATATGAACATGTAATGATGGAAGCCTGTATGGAAGACTATCAAGTGATTTGTATCGCCTCATTAACAAGTTATAACACCTTCACAGGAATCATCACAGCTCCAGAATAAACAGTTCCCTTGACAGCTATAGCATAGCATAAATACAGCGATTATGAATACGATACTACAGATAGTGCATGGCCTTCTCTCCAGGAAAAATCCAGTCAAATATAACACCATGAACATGGCATGGTTATATAGCAAAGCAGGGTTCACTGGTTTAGGTATTAGCAGCACCGGGATTAGCCACTGCAGGCAATACATTTTAGTCTATTTTGACAACAATATATCTGGATCTAGAGTTTCGTAAATCCATTCCAACGCTTTGGACGAGATTGTCTTGTAGTAGATAATCCAACGCTTGGAAACCCCGAGGGAAAGCCTTGTGATACAGTGTCACACCTGGCTTCACAAACACTACGTGATCACCCGGGGCTTAGACTCAGCTTACATGCACATGAAACTTCACTCACTGAGTGTCCAAATCAATCACTGGACTGTAGAGGGAGCTTCGGTCAAAGTGACACTGACTGACTTACTGACTCAGGTCAGTAAAAAGTTTTTCAGTAGTCTAGATCTAGCAAATCGTGAGATCCTATGTCTATGTCTCCTCCTTGAAGCCTTCTGGAATATGATACTTATATGTCAGGAAATATCGGCATGAATACTAAGAGACGTTAACTCACTGTTATTAGGCAGTTTTCGTCCTAATTTTGCAGTGTGAAATTGTGAGTTTTCTTTTCAGGAAATTCTGAACTCTCATCGAAGGGGTAATACTAAATACCACCTAGGTGTCCCGCACCTAGGTGCCCCCACCTGGGGACACCTAGGTGTCCCCTAGGGCACCTGGATTTTTAGACTACTGATTAACGATGTTTTAGTGAAGGATAATCTTTGAAACTTTACAGTAACTTAAATGGCTTTGAAAATATTCCGTTGGTTGATAAATTAATACGACTCTGACATTGTATAGCATGAAAAAAGTGTTAAAGAAGTGGGCTTCGACGAAAAAAATTAAAATGGCCGCCACTTGGGCTTACGAGTGGTCGTGTATGGTCGAAATACATAATGTTTAACGACGATATGCTTAATAAATTTGCTCAAAATACCGAAATATTATCCACAAAAGTCATGAACTAGTATTTTTGCGAAATTATGTCGCATAATGAGGTCAATCGACGGTCATAAAGACTCATAATATATCAACTTCTGATTTATAAATTTGTAGTCACATACACTGTACTGTAGACTAGAGTCATTTCCGATTCGATTATGTCAGTCACTGTGTATATTACACTCTTATTCTGTATAGAAATAGCACATTTGTGTTGCGATTGTTCATTATAACACAGTAACACAAGCTTTCCAATTTTATGATCGTCTCAGCCAAGACCCATAGCACCAAATTGCATTTTGCCAATGGATTCCAATACATGTATATCCACATGACATGAATAATCAGATAATGAGGCCTGAATGGTGACTATAATAATCATAGTTCAAAATATATATATAAACTGTTAGAAAGACTACACACCATTTGTCCAAATCGCAATCGACTATCCCACTGGATTCAGATTTGGACCGATGGAATTTGGCCTCGGATGATTCGGATTGGATATGGGTTTCAGACAATTTGGATTTGGATGATTGGGATTCAGCAATTGCGATTCGGACGACTGGGATTTTGACCAATGGGATTCAGACCATTGGGATTCAGACTAATTTCAGACCTACCCTGTTTGAATTATGTCAACATAAGTGTTGCTAGTATCATCTATATCATAGGTGAGGCCAGAGATGAGGCATAGTACATTTATCTAAATAAAGTCCTTGCTATTATATTATATTAGATATATTATAGAGTTCACAAAATTGGACAATGCCACATTGAAATTGAAAAATCAGAGGTTGTGAGACTTTTGTGGTTTTATAACATGGGGCCTATGGGGAATCTCCCTGAACTAGAAATCACATTTTTCCCATAGATTAAATCCTCAAAGTTGATAAGCAATTTTCAAAACCATATTTCTAAAAGTGTTTTAACATGTAGATTTTAAGACTGAATTTTGACTGAATTATGAATATTTAATGACATAAATCAAAGTATTTCTACTCGCATCTAGTCTATTGTTCATCATGTATTGAGTATGGAGAATGGACAAAATATTATAAATATTGGAAAACAAATCAGAACAACATAAACAGAGTGCATATATTTTAGGACACCCTGGATGTTAAAAACTGATCAAGTGCACTATAAGATGAAATTCACAGGGAGGGATTCAACAAAATTTTAAGTGGCATGCAGTGGTTTGTTGGCCGAAACCACCATTACTCCTTCCTAAAAACGATATTGACTCAAAATCTTTTTGTGTGTATAAATGAACTTTATTAGGACAACTTGTTTTCTACATTCCACGTGTATTTTTAAATGATAAAAAATAATGAAATAAAACAATGAATATTTAATATTTAAACAACATAGTTTCATGTACATAACCAGAAGAACTGCAACGCCAAAGCGTAGCGAATCCCACTGAACAGAAATGGCTGGCATTTTTACAAACGAAATATATAGCAAATATCATAAAATAACACACATAAGAAAGGCCACCATTTTCAAAATGGTTGCTCACTAGCCAAGTTGTCATCAGAAGTAATATGCTTTTTTTTCTAGCACTCACAACCAAATATGAAAAAATCGCTCCACTACTTTTCGAGTTATAGTAAAATACTTTAAAATGTTGGCCATTTTTCAAAATGGCCGCCTTCTACCAAAAGTGTCATTAGACAGTGTGCCATGCTTATAGTATTCACATACCAAATATGAACAAAATCGCTCCACTACTTTTCAAGTCACAGCAAAAATTGTAAAATAACAAGTAAAGGCCGAGTAAAATACGTTTAAATGGCGGCCATTTTTCAAAATGGTCACCTTCTACCAAAAGTGTCATTAGACAGTGTACCATGCTTATAATATTCACATACCAAATATGAACAAAATCGCTCCACCACTTTTCAAGTTATAGTAAAATACGTTAAAATGGCAGCCATTTTTCAAAATGGCCACCTTCTACCAAAAGTGTCATTAGACAGTGTGCCATGCTTATATTATTCACATACCAAATATGAACAAAATCGCTCCACTACTTTTCGAGTTAAAGTAAAATACGTTAAAATGGCGGCCATTTTTCAAAATGGCCGCCTTCTACCAAAAGTGTTATTAGACAGTGTGCCATGCTTATAGTATTCACAAACCAAATATGAACAAAATCACTCCACTACTTTTTGAGTTATAGTAAAATATGTTAAAATGGTGGCCATTTTTCAAAATGGCCGCCTCCTACCAAAAGTGTCATTAGACAGTGAGCCATGCTTATAGTATTCACATACCAAATATGAACAAAATCGCTCCACTTCTTCTTGAGTTACAGCAAAAATCGTAAAATAACGAGTAAAGGCCGCCATTTTTCAAGATGGCTGCCATGTGCTTCTTTAATATCTACATTTCTAGCTTTATCAATGTCTTATATAATTTTTTTACATTTAAAACATATTGCTATTACAGTTTTACATATTGCACCTAAATTACAGTAAAATCGGCACTAAAATGGCCACCATTTTTAAATGAGCGGCCATTTTGAAAATCGGCTTTAGAGCAGAACTTCTACCTCCATAGGGTATATGTGTACAAAATATGAACAAAATCGGGCCAACGGTATTTGAGTTATTGCCCGGACGGACAGACGGACAGACGGACGGACGGACGTACGTACAGACGTACGTACGGACGGACAGACGGACGGACGGAGGCGTTCCCTATATCCCTCCGAACTTCGTTCAATGGGATAATAATTAGATGTTAAAGATTAAACCAGGCTTAGTAATTGTAATTGAAGGTCAAATCTATGGTCAGATTTGAACATTTGAGAACTTATAGATGATTTTGAAAAAAGAAATTGGCCAATTTGAAGCAAGTTGAAAAAATACCTTTTTTGATCTTTTTTGACTTGAGAGGGTCAGTCAAGGTCAAACATAAATGTAAAGTCAGATTTGAACTTCTGAAAACTTTTAGATGATTTTGAAAAAAATTGAAGTCGGTCTAAACAGTATTTGTTAAGTTATTGGAAGTTGTAAGAATTTGTTACAGATGCTGATTTCCAACCGTCAGCCACCAACCCCTGTCAAAAAATGGAGTATGTCACCACTTTTTGGTGGTGACATAACAAAGCTACAAGTCAATTATTTCACAAAGTAACAACATGATGCATCAATAGCAGTAGATCCTCTTTTTATAACTATAGATACCATAGTAGTTCAAGTTTGAAATTATGCAAACTTCAAGCTTAGCTCTACAGTTCATTACAGGGACTAATGATTGTCATTCTCCCTAATCGCAGACAGAGTCAGTCATAATTGCTGATACAGTCAGCTTGAAGTATATGATCCATAATGCACTATATAACATAGGATGTAGTTTGAACTACATGTATATACATGTAATCCTCAATGCAGAATACAATCCATGACGTAGTACATTCATAATAATCTCTGTTGTAATCCAGACTTTAACTCATTATTGATAAAGTAGTTCACTTCATATATTAACAATCCGAGTGGTTATGGTTGATCAGATGCAGCTAGATTCTCACTAAGTTTTATCTGCAGATCAAGGTACAACTGTTTCTACATCAGACCGTCCACACCTGGAATAAGGACTATGAGAGATGGCAACAGGGTATTGCTGGTGGGAGTCATAGTTGGTTGTATATATCTCATACACCCTGTGCCAAGGCCAGATGGAGCAAGATGTTACGGCAGCATTAAAGTGGAGAACAGTTTACCTGTGACCTTCTCATAACTCTGTATCCTGCAATTACAGTATCAAGACACAAATTATGTGTTATTCCAAACATATCAAGTTTTTTTACATGGGATACCCTTTTATCTCCCTATGCAATGATTACTAAGAAAGTTTATTTTTTACTGTCATTTGAAAATAATCCCCTATTAGAAATCTTATGTATGACCATGGGCTCTATGGTATGACTTATAAAGTTAAAGTTTTAATTATTGTAGTCATCTAAAAATTCATATGCCCAATGGTATATATTGATATTGTAAAATGTATACTTCTTTAAAATAGTTAATCTCTTTCTCTAGTTGAAGAAGATTAGAATTTGATAACAGAGGCATTATACAACAGCATTTGTAAACAAGTCAAGGCATTGTTTTGAGAACTATCATTGAAGAAAATATTTTATAATCCTTAGTCCTTTGAGATATTTAAAGGGTAATATGCAACATGTTAATGCAAACAATTAAGTCAAAGCATTGTTTATAAATGCTATAATGTAAGAATGTATTGTATAATCATAAGTTCTTTGAAAATTTTAATCTCTTTCTTTTTGTCAAGATGAAATAGATTTTGCTTTGATTGGATTCTTTACTGGGAAAAAGGAAAATCAAAGTTGAAAAATGTTGTTGTATTACAAGGAAAGAACATTAGAATGTCAAAAATAAAGCCAGCGAATGGTTTTGGGTTAGAGCCCTTTTTTCAGTTTTGAACATTTTACATTGAGATCAGATCCCTAAAATTGATTTTTTCTAAGTTACATCTTCTAAATTGAATATTGTTTTTGAAATTCTTTTTATAATACTTTTCTTTACTAGGAAAAGGAAAATCAAAGTTGAAAAATGAATTTTTTATTTTTGTTATATTTCACTCCAACTGCATTAGCATTCTATAGGCTACAGAGGCTCACCAAACCATCAAATGCAAATAACCGTAAAATGTTGAAATCATGAAATAATTTAGTGATTTTTTTTTCAAATGAGTGCGCCATGTTGTATATTACAAGGAAAGAACATTAGAAAGTCAAAAATAAAGCCAGTGAATGATTTTGGGTAAGAGCCATTTTTTCAGTTTTGAATATTTTACATTAAGAGTTCAGTAGGACCAATCCCTAAAATTGCTTTTCTCTTAGTTACATCTTCCAAATTGAATATTATTTTTGAAATTATCTTTATAATACATTTCTTAACCAAGAAAAGGGAATATATAAGTTGAATTAAAAATGAATTTTTTATTTTTGTTATATTTCACTCCAACTGCATTAGCATTCTATAGGCTACAGAGGCTCACCAAACCATCAAACGCAAATAACCGTAAAATGTTGAAATCATGAAATAATTTAGTGATTTTTTTCAAAAGAGTGTGCCATGTTGTATATTACAAGAAAAGAACATTAGAAAGTCAAAAATAAAGCCAGTGAATGATTTTGGCTAAGAGCCGTTTTTTCAGTTTTGAATATTTTACATTAAGAGTTCAGTAGGACCAATCCCTAAAATTGCTTTTCTCTTAGTTACATCTTCCAAATTGAATATTATTTTTGAAATTATCTTTATAATACATTTCTTTACCAGGAAAAAGGAAAATCAAAGTTGAAAAATGAATTTTTTATTTTTGTTATATTTCACTCCAACTGCACTAAAGCATTCTATAGGCTATAGAGGCTCACCAAACCATCAAACGCAAATAACCATAAAATGTTGAAATCATGGAATAATTTAGTGATTTTTTTCTAAAGAGTGGGCCACCTTGTATATTACAAGGAAAGAACATTAGAATGTCCAAAATAAAGCCAGTGAATGATTTTGGGTAAGAGGCATTTTTTCTGTTTTGAACATTTTACATTGAGTTCAGTAGGACCGATCTCTAAAATTGATTTTATTTAAGTTACATCTTTCAAATTGAATATTGTTTTTGAAATTCTTTTTATATTACCTTTCTTTACCAGGAAAAAAAGAAATTAAAGTTGAAAAATGATTTTCTTTGTTTTTGTTAACTTGCTTAAGCTTGATGACATCACAATATTATATTATATCCTACCTCTAGTTATTTTTGAGACTATTGTTGCTTGGTTTAAATGAGTCAACACAAACCACTGTTCATCTTTCTTGTTTTGTGTTGTGGTGTCCAAAACATTGAATTGCTCTTCTGGCTAAAATAACAGAAAAATCAACATATCTGTTTGAAAGGGTTTTGACCACTGGGTTATACTTTGACAATTATAGTAATGATACTTTTAAGTGCATTCTCACAAATTATCATTATACATATTATGTTATATTATTACAAAATAGCTACATGTTATACACAATGACACCATGAGGCATATATCAGGATTTACAAGAGCAAAATCCAATCAGACTATAAACTTAATGAAATATTGAGGAATCTGTTCAATCAAATGAAATCCAGTATTAGAACAATTTACATAGATACTAGAAATTTCTTCTTTTAGGTTATGCCTGGAACTAGTAACAATAATTATTTGAACATTAATATCAAACCTGATGACGATTCTAGTCTTGGGGAAAGCTTGGGTGGATGGAGGCAAGCTAACACTTTCACACAGCCTTTTACTATTTCAGCATCATTTGGATCGGACTTTGTACAGCACTTTGATGGCGAGTTGTAATGCTGAAAGTGAACATTGAATGATAAGGATACACAAATACTGAATTATTAAAAAAAATGATGACTTAGAGAATGTAGATCTTATCAAGGCACTCATGAATGGACAATCTTGACTTGGAAGTGGTCGTATCTTGGTAGCAAAATGATATATAACAATATTTGAGCTTTAAAGCACTCTCATAACTGAGATGTTGAGATCGCAGGTGACACACATGTGTATAACGTTGAACTACCCTTTGCATTCGTTTGACCTCACTTCTGAAAAGAAAGCTTCATCTTCACTCTTTCATTTTACAATAAATCTCACCGAGCCAATCAGAGTTCATCGTCGAAATACGGAAGACTTTCTATATGGTCATTTCCTCTGACATCCCCGCACAGTTAATGAGCACGTATTTTGCGTATGTTCCTTCCACTTTGCTGATTGGTTGAGAAAGGATCAGCATGGTAGATTTGAAATTATTGGGTTTACGAAAAAGACTGACCCCACCGACCACCCACCGGTCGATGTTTTCCACTGGTAGCCTCAAAACAGGGTTTGAAGAAAATGTGTAAAAGACCGACCATATCATGTAAAAGACCGAACATATTTGTAGCCTTAAAATATTAATAATTTGATTTTGAATGTCAATCGTTGGGACTAGGCAACGGTTTTTACCGATTTTGTACCTTGCAACGAATGGCAAGCAAACAAATTGGGCATGACCGTCTCCTCTCAATTAATTGTCCTGCCTTAGGTCCTAACCTATCATTAACCAACCTATCGTTTCTACGGGAATCTATCCTAATTTTTTACTGAAATTTAACAATTTCGAAACAAAAATGATTTGTTATCGTCATAGCCTACTGAATACTGAACACGATATTACATGCGTTCTCTTATCGGGATTAAAAGTGACTTGCCATTTCAGTACACCATTAGAAAGCTTTTTTTGTCATATCAAATGTAGTTTTTACCAGTTGACGTTTGACAACTGAGAAATCAAACATAACGTTACGACGTCAACATCGACGATGTTTGTGTGTTTTTGTTATTGCGTTTCATATGAATGAATTTAATGCAATGTTACGTGCGTTTTTTTCCAAAGTGACTAAACAGGATGAAATTGGTCTTCTAACTAATCACGACCTAGTAAAGGTACTATAGTCATTGGATTCCCAGTTTTAGTTTTACTTCTAAATGTAATTTTGCATTTTTTCATCTTTATGAAAAAGACCGTCAGCCGACCACCGACCACATGTACCCAACTGTGGAGAGTGACCGGTCGGTGGTCGGCGGTCGGTGTTTTTCGTAAACCCGAAATTATTTATTACCCGGGCTGTCACAGGCACCAATCTTCGGGGCGGGGTTGCTAAACTGAAGTATACATGTAGTCTATACTAGCTGAGACTAACATTTATGTTAGTCTCGGATACTAGGCAGAGTGTAGTTTATAACTACACTCTGCGCGCAGGGTAACGGAGACACACTCAAATGCGATTGTATGGGGTAACGTTGAACTGACTTGACAGCAGGATCTCTGACTTACATGTACACTGGCTGCCTAGTCTATATCCAATATCAGACTAGAGGATACAGTATTAGTCTAACTGACCAGGAACTGATATCTGGCTTTTGATAGAGAAAATCTGTAGGATAGGGTCCTGGGTCATCTTTGACAAGACAGTTGAATCTTTAGACTTGTTGTAAACATCTCATATAAATGATATAACAATGAACACATACAACAACTTTTGGTTTTGTTATTACAAAGACCAGTGTTGGAAATGCTGATAAAAAGTTGAGAAATTTTTATTTTCCGAAAGCAACATGGCGTCAGAAAAAAATCTCGAAAAAAATACTTTTTTCTCTCTAAAATGTCACAAAACTACTTTTATTCTTACCTCATCAAGTAAAGTACAACTCCATTCATACTCTAGTACTATTATTTCATTTGACTTATATCAAAGTCTAATCAACCAATATCCAAGCCCCACGCCGCCACCTGAAAAGGGACACCTGGAAAGGGGCACCTAGGTGTGGGACACCTAGGTGGTATTTAGTAACACCCCATCGAAGTCAATTACCGCGAGATTTCAAACGAGATGTAAAAAATCAACAGAAAAGTTTTTGACTAAAAAGTACTATTTTATCAATTTATTGCTCTTCCAGAAGAGTTATAAACGGTTTCACCTTCAAAGTAAGTAGTAAAGAAGTATATGTTTATAACTGCATACATGTTAGTACTTACAAATGTAAACATTCCAGCATATTGTCACAATGAGCTAAATTCATGTCTCAGTTTCATGTCTCAAACCAAGGACGTCTACTCTGAGGTTGACGTCCTTGCTCAAACTAAGATTTTCGACATCTAAAAAGTCACTAATTAGTGGAAGCATCACATGTTGATCTCTACAGGAGGTTAATCCAATTTGCTATGGTAATCCATTAAAATTCTAATTTGCCAATTATCACGTTATTACCTGTTTTCATCATAGGAGACAGGTTACCTGAAAAGGAAGATAGATATCATTATCAAGGACTGAAACTGAGGCAAGTCTACCCTGGCTGAAATCAGCTCTGAAATAACAATTACTGCATGTCAAGCCATCATTCAATGCTGATTTTGTAGAAAACAGATCTGTCCATCCTTCTACATGTGAGTTTTTCCCATAAAGATGCTTGATTAAGGCGACGCTATATTAAATAAAAAGTACAAAAAATGACTGCCATATTTTTTTGATAAAGACACATGTTTTTAAAATCTGTTTACCTTGTATATGAATTGTGTATCTTGACTAATGAAACATGTCAAAGTTAACATCACACAAAAAATGCATTTTTCCAAACTATGAATTGGAGGTGCATGGATCCCCAAAGCTAGCATGAAGAGTGTGAAGTGAGGCTAATTTTTGAAAGTTTCAAGGGGTAGCCTTGCAACAGTCACACATTTGCAAGAGTCTAAAATTTCCACAAATCATCTTACCTTTCCCAGGAACAACGAAGGAGCATGAAAATGTGCACTTCTTGCATTGTTAGAGTATAATAAAGCTCAAACCATTGTAAATTCTAAATATTTCATGTCCACATTTTGTTTGCCGGAACTACTTCTAGACTTCCTGATTAATCCTCATGCAAGTTTTGTGACTACACCAAGTGGCATGGATTATCACTTGTATGTTTTATCTATTACAGTGTAATTATCATGATAGATACATGATAGAGGCTTTATGAATGATAAACAATGGAAACATGAATGAAGATAACTCTGGACTAAAAAATAGTTCCAGGAAACAAAATGGTGGACATGAAATATTTAGAATTCACAATGGTTTGAGCTTTATTATACTCTAACAATGCAAGAAGTACACATTTTCGTGCTCCTTCGTTGTTCCTTGGTAAGGTAAGACTATATCTAGAAATTTTGAATTCTTGCAAATGTGTGTCTGTTGCAAGGCTACTCCTTGAAACTTTCAAAAAATAGCCTCACTTCGCACTCTTCATGCTAGCTTTTGGGAGCCATACTCCTCCAATTCATAGTTATGAAAAATGCGTTTAAATGTGAGGTTTTCTTTTATGTGTCTCTTTAGTCAGGAAATGCATTCACATACAAGGAAAACAGTATACAAAATCTTCTGACTTTATCAAAAAAATATGGCTCCCATGTTTTTGTACTTTTGATTAAATTAAATGTCACCTTAAGTAGAAATTCATCAAATTATACCCCTAGAATATCAAAGTTCAACTGTACATCAATCGCGTGAGGAAAAAAAACAAATCCATTCTTCACCTTCTGTTCACAAACCCTTCTTCTTCTTCTTGGAAAAGTTGTCCCTCATTTGACTAACAGCAAATGTGTATGTTTATGCAGCAATATATGTTAGTTTAGAAAATGATTAATTACAATCTTACCTGTAGTTCACAGAAACATCCTAAGTATGAAAATATTTCACTAAAAATACATGCTTCCATTTTGTCACATGTTCATAATAATTTACATATTGACCATGTGATGTTGACAGGGAGTGTAAACGCACCTAGCGTACAGGAAATATGTTATGATATTTATTAAGAAATTAGGTATGGTAATCATTATTACTTATTGTATTAAGCCCCCAACCCACTTCACAAAGTTCATGAAGTACCAAGGAAAGACCAAATATTAAATAAATTAGAAAAATTTGAATTTCCAAAAAAATCAAGTGGGCGATAATAGAGCCTCTGAAACATGGCAAAAGTGACATATTTTGTAATTTTCAATGCACTCCCGATAATTATCTATCATTGTGTGCTTTCCACACCATATCAAACTAATATTATCTAAAAATAATGTATGTAATAAGTTAATGAAGGAAAAATTTAATGTTTCAGAGACTCTATTATCGCCCACTTGATTTTTTGGGAAATTCAAATTTTTCTAATTTATTTAGTATTTGGTCTTTCCTTGGTACTTCATGAACTTTGTGAAGTGGGTTGGGGGCTTAATACAATAAGTAATAATGATTACCATACCTAATTTCTTAATAAATATCATAACATATTTCCTGTACGCTAGGTGCGTTTACACTCCCTGTCAACATCACATGGTCAATATGTAAATTATTATGAACATGTGACAAAATGGAAGCATGTATTTTTAGTGAAATATTTTCATACTTAGGATGTTTCTGTGAACTACAGGTAAGATTGTAATTAATCATTTTCTAAACTAACATATATTGCTGCATAAACATACACATTTGCTGTTAGTCAAATGAGGGACAACTTTTCCAAGAAGAAGAAGAAGGGTTTGTGAACAGAAGGTGAAGAATGGATTTGTTTTTTTTCCTCACGCGATTGATGTACAGTTGAACTTTGATATTCTAGGGGTATAATTTGATGAATTTCTACTTAATTAAGCATCTTTATGGGAAAAACTCACATGTAGAAGGATGGACAGATCTGTTTTCTACAAAATCAGCATTGAATGACGGCTTGACATGCAGTAATTGTTATTTCAGAGCTGATTTCAGCCAGGGTAGACTTGCCTCAGTTTCAGTCCTTGATAATGATATCTATCTTCCTTTTCAGGTAACCTGTCTCCTATGGTTTTCATACCCAGATATCACTGTAGGAGATTGATTCTGTTTAAGGACAGGGTGCATGTTGGGAAATTTTCTGCATTCCTCAATTGAGTCACATGTTATTTTTCAAACAAGAATAACTCCTTCCCCACATTGTCTACATCTTCCAAGTTTGCACAAAGAGTGCACTTATGTGCCTAGAAAAGCCTTGTGAGAAGGTTTGTTTTGTAAAATGTAGAAAAAATGAGAAAATTCAGTGAAAAAAAATTCTGAAAATTTTCTGATTTTTTTCACTGAATTTTCTTGTTTTTTATACACTTTATCAAAACATTCTTCTCACAAGTCTTTTCTAGGCACATAAGTGCACTCTTTGTGCAAAACTGGAAGATGTAGACAATGTGGGGAAGGAGTGATTCTTGTTTGAAAAATAACATGTGACTCAATTGAGGAATGCAGAAAATTTCCCATCATGCACCCTGACCTTAAATAGTCTAAATATCAATATTGAAATTTATGGAAAATTGACTGTTCCACTTAGTAGGTTAATCTTTCAATATGGGGTGTTCACTGTTCAAGTTCGGAGGTGTTCCACTTACAGAGGTTCAATTAACATTAAGTCAATCTCATCTGTCTAGTTTGTCCTCCGAATCATCCTCCATCCATCTTCCGAACACAGGCTTCCAGAACTCTTGTTCGGATGATGAGTTTGTGTTTAATTGTGTTACTTATATCATATCACAGTATTTAGTTAAATAGCATTCAAAAAGTAGGTAAGTGATGACCTTCATAAGACCGTAGACCCGTCATGATATATTTCTTTGATGCTAGTAAAATAGCCTATTCTATGCTTACCTTGTGATTTTTTTTAAATCATTTTATTTAGCCTAGGGTTTACAGTTTACACTATTATATCCCCCAGGGGTCTACATATAAAATTTTGTAATTTGCTTGAGTAAAACATTACAACATACCAGTTCTCATTTTAGATAGTGGAGAATGCCTGCAGCTCCTCCAAAGACTCCTTGCAGGCATGAGGTGAGGACACCATCAGAGGGGGTGACTCTACAGAAGACTGTATTCATAGGCTACACTGATGTCTTGGCTGCAGGAAGGCTAGTACAAATAACAACAATCAATTAGTAGCTGGGACAAAACAAGTCATCCCTTTCTTTTTTTCTGATAATTTTTTCAATTCTCAATAATTTTTATCGAATAGTTATTTCGCGAAAACATGATATAATGGAAATAAAGACAATACTTATTCTAGAAACAACAAATAAAAAACAAATATAAGGTAAAGTTGTTGAATCCTCCAAAAATATTGTGAGCTTGGACAGTAATTATATTCAGGTCTACAAGGCCTTTACAATAAAGTAACATGTTTAGTTGTATACTTTTTTTGTGAGCCTATCAAGTATCAATGCCTATTTTTCTACAGCCGGGCCTTGTTAGGCATTGACACAAAGCAAATGAAAATTGAATATGATGAGCTGAATATCCCAGATCTGAACAATTTACAACCTGCTGTTACAAGAGGCATAGAACCTGACCCTACAGAGAAAGATTTCCTCCACTTACAGATATTGAACCACAAGTATGAGCAGGTCGGATATTATCCTAAGCTAGAGTGACTGACTGTTTAACACTCTTTACTAACTGATAAATGTCTTAACTCGTTGAGCCATTCAGAATCTGCTGGTTATCAAAGATTGTAATTTCTTAAAGTATTACTTACTGTGACTCTTAACTTTAAGGGCTCTCAGAAAGGTTGATATCTTAACTGTTATATTATTGCTCTTAGTCACATGCTTAAGTGTATACAGAGAGTCAGCATACATGCACATGCAACGAACTATCACATTATGAGTGTCCAGATGTTATAAATTATTTAAAACATAGGAGATGGAGTACATGTATTAACTATGCACATTTTATAACTGAAATGTCTTTAGTCTTGTGCATGATTTGCTTCTTCCAGTGCTCCCTTGTTATTGTCAACACAGTTGTGCCAGCTGACAAGTGCCATGTAGTCGCCAACAAAATCATGGATATGTGTTCTAGAGGGTAATGTAACATCTTTTTGTCCAGTGTCATAGGACCTACTTCCGGCACTTGATAAACTAAACTTCATATAAAAAACAATTAAGACAAGGCTGAATTGATAAAAATGTCGTTGCATACTCAACCACTGGGGTTTAGTCATTGTTACCTCTTTAAGATGAATGAAACAGACAACTGCAACATTTTATAGAACTTTAAATAATAATGCAATCCAGGACTGTATCTTTATGCAGCAAATGTTGTTGTGTGAAAAAGTTCAGTTGGGGCATACATACCAAATAAGATGATTGTAAGGGTTTCATTTACTCCCAATTCTTTAAAAACATTCAATAACTTTTAAAATAAAGTTTTAACCATAGCCTTACCCGGGAGCTTAACATCCATCATTGAAATGTTGACACTTGCAAGCTGTGCATTGGAAAATATCAATCTTGAATTTTTTTTAACCATAGTTAGAAAGAATCTATATGTATCATGAAAAAGGTAACCTGATTTGGTTACAGTATTGCTGTGTATTTCAGGGGTACAGAGAGAATATTTCTGCTTAGTGCTGTTCCAGTCAATCTGCCCAAGTCACTTTCATCCCGTGCATCAAACCCTTTGTTTGAGAACTGCAGGTTCTGTGAACCAGGTAACACTAGGTTAAGTTTATTTCATAAAAGGTAATACTTTTCATAACTGCATGTTACAATTAGTGTAATCACTAATGCCTTAAGTTAATGTCAATCTGAGAGGTTAGTGGAATTTTTCAATTTTCCAATTCATAGAAATAAGTAACTAACATGATTGATAATTTTGGGCCTAACTTCTTTTCTGTAATTATTGAAAATGAAAAAACACTAGGTATTATATCTCTGTAACGTTGTACTGTTGTATTTTGCAGCCACAATGTATGAATCTCTCCCCATTACTACACTAATCCACGACCATTTCCTCAACACAATGCTACAGCTGATCAATGTAGAGGGAATCCCAACATCTGTTCTCATTATCCCTGCCACTAGAGGGCGTGGTGGTAGAGCGTCAAAAGAGGATGGGTCAGCTCAGGTACGGTCACAATCAATTAATTATTCTACTCATGCTTTGTTTCATATATCTTTTGATATTAGATGAATCTGTCGTCAAAAGAAGCATGGTGTAATATAATCCCACCAAATGGATCTGGAAGGATATAGAGAATCCCTTTATCCATCTAGTTTAAATGTAGCTTTGTTTAGCTGCACCTAAATGCCATTTTGGGTGTCCAAAAACTATGATGTGTCTTTTTTATGTGTCTTAGGCATGTAATAAAATATGCACAGGTGCACTTTCATATAACAGAATAACAGGACAAGCAATTAACTGATAATATGATAAAATCAAATGCCATTTTGAATAACAGCTGTTATTTCAAATCAACAGCAAATGAGCAGAAGATCAAAATAATCTATAAAGCAACATATGATTGCTGGTGAAGTTAGGTTATCGCAAACAATTTCAAACGATTCTAACTTGAATTATGAATATTTTCTGATCATGAACATGGGTGTATCTTTTAGATCCATTCATTATCTTCAAGAAAAGTATGTATAATGATAATTTAGTTAATCAGACCTAAGTGATATTGAAGGGGCAATGGACCAATCAACATACTTTTTCAAAAATGTTGACCTAATTTTCACCAAAAATGCAACCTTTTATTAAATTGTTGAATGCATAATTAGAATGTGCCTTGAGACATGTTCGATTTCCTTAAAGGAAAAGTTGATTGCTCCAGGGACTTAAAAGATATTGAATTTGGATGACCAAAATGAACTGAAACCAATGGATAGCATGAGGTTTTTCAATGAAGAAATAACATGGGGAACACTTATCTTAAAGCAATTAAGTTTTTCTTTTATGAACTATTTGATTCATTAAAATAAAGAATAGTAATGCATTAAACATTGTAACAAATGATTGCATTTCTGGTGAAAATGGGGTCAACATCTTTGAAAAAGTGTGTTGATGGGTTGATTGCTAGTTAAATATCTCTGAGTTTGTTTGACTTTATTATCACTGTACAGTAAAACCTGCGTATAGTGAACAGTTTTTTGCCAAGAAAAAATGTTCACTGTTGGTAGGTGTTCACTACACCAAGGATTTGATTTCGCGGCATTTTGCCGTATTATATAAAGAGACCAGCTATTAAAAGAGAGGAGGGAATAATCAATTTAATTTGTATTTTCTACCCATATTAACCCATGGCACTCTAGCGTTAAGTATTTGATTTGTTGTCATGTTATATACAAACTGACTTATTTTAGACTCACTGTCATCTGAATGGTTCTTCCTTTTATTGTCAAATTTTAATCTCTTTATAATTCTTTTTATCTCATCAAGATGGTCCTTTAAACAGTGGAATCTTTGAGACATTTGAGTCACTTAAAGGACTTTATTGAATTAGTTAAAGGAAATGATAGATGCAGTTAATAGTGAAATGATCATGATTTATAATTTTAATCCAATCTTCTTTTTTTTTAAATTGACGGGATGAGAAAAAGATTTAGTTGGGATTTAGCAGATAGAGGTAATAATAGTTAACCAGATTATCTCCAAGCAATCAATCCCAGACGCATATCCTGTTTTACAAAAACAAAGCTTATTAAGAATTATAATTAGTCACACCTGTTTCAATAGAAGAAGAGATCAAGATCTCAAATTGACCTTTTAATTATTTTTGGCAGGTAATATAAACATAAACTGCTTAACTCTGATAAGGCAGTTGCAGAAAATCCGCGAGAAATCTTATATCTGATTCAATGTTCACTAGAGACAGGATAATTCAACTGATTTTGCCAAGATTTAGTGTTCACTGTTCACAATAGGTAGGTGTCCACTATAGGATTGTACTTAAACATGGGAGTCAATGGGAGAAAAAGATTTTGCCGAATAAAAATGTTCACTGTTGATAGGTGTTCACTAGAGAGATGTGTTCACTAACTTAGGTTTTACTGTATATAATTTTCTTTGAGATAATGAATTGATCTAAAAGATAAACCTGTCTTCATTGTCAGAAAATAGTCATAATCCAAGATTTAACCTTCTGAAATTGTTTGCGATAACCTACGTGCTCCTCTATACTTTAAGTACTCCTTTTTTTTTTATTAATCATCAAATATTTATTTATTCCAAGAGTCAATTGTATTGTAATTCAATTGTATTGTTAACGGAATAATTGCTTTTGTTTACATCATTGGCGGCAATTTTCAAAATAATAAAGATGGAATACTCTGAAAAAATTACTCCGACATGAGCCATATAGATTATGAGTTATAATTTATAACCCTTGAGTCAGTTTATTTGAAAAACGGGCCCTCCTGTTAATGGTTGTGAACCTTACTAGATTATAAAACAATTAATTTACCAGCTGTTCCAGACATTTAATTTTCCTGTTTTATACATTTGGGTTACATAAATTTTGGTTTGCCCATTAAAAGGTGAATATATCAAGGGTTAAAGCAGTTAATGACTTGACCTAAAATAAGTGTAGCTCAATGTTTATGAAATGAACTTTAACCAGAGATGTAATGGATTTGCTAATCAGCTATGTGACATGTGATAATCCTAACTACATGTAGAACCAGAACAACGGCAACGCCAAAGCGTAGCGAATCCCATCGAACAGAAATGGCTGGCATTTTTAGAAACGAATAGCAAATATCATAAAACAACACACCAGAAAGGCCACCATTTTCAAAATGGTTGCTCACTAGCCAAGTTGTCATCAGAAGAAACACATAAAAATGGTGGCCATTTTTCAAAATGGCCGACGAGTCCCCAAAGTTTTATTAGACAATGTGCCATGCTTAAAGTATTCACATATCAAATATGAACAAAATCGCTCCACTACTTTTCGAGTTATAGTAAAATACGTTAAAATGGCAGCCATTTTTCACTTTTTTTTCAAAATGGCCGCCTTCTACCAAAAGTGTCATAGGACAGTGTGCTATGCTTATAGTATTCACATACCAAATATGAACAAAATCGCTCCACTACTTTTCGAGTTATAGTAAAATACGTTAAAATGGCGGCCATTTTTCAAAATTGCGGCCATTTTTCAAAATGGCCGCCTTCTACCAAAAGTGTCTTTAAACAATGTCCAATGCTTATAGTATTCACATACCAAATATGAACAAAATCGCTCAACTATTTTTTGAGTTACAGCAAAAATCGTAAAATGACGAGTAAAGGCCGTCATTTTTCAAGATGGCTGCCATGTGCTTCTTTAATATCTACATTTGTAGCATTATTAATGCCCTTTATAATATTTTTACATTTAAAACATATTGCTATTACAGTTTTACATATTGCACCTAAATTACTGTAAAATCGGCACTAAAATGGCCGCCATTTTGAAATGAGCGGCCATTTTGAAAATCGGCTTTCGAGCAGAACTTCTACCCCCATAGGGTATATGTGTACAAAATATGAATAAAATCGGGCCAACGGTATTTGAGTTATTGCCCGGACGGACGGACGGACGGACGGACGTACGTACGGACAGACGGACGTACGTACGGACGGACGGACGGACGTACGTACGGACGGACGGACGGACGGACAGAGGCGTTCCCTTTATCCCTCCGAACTTCGTTCGATGGGATAATAATGGATGACACACAATGGGATAAATAAATACAATATCATTAATCTCCAATGCTCCAATACGCGATAACGTTTAGTTTAGTTCAGTTTAGTTTAGTTACCTCCCGTTTGGAGAGCTCTCATGTATGGTACAACTTTGTCTACATTCGGGTTCTTTCCCATTGGATTACACAGGGGTGCTATTTTCAATGCCGCACTGCGACTCTATTAAACATTTATGTAGAGTTGCATTTGCACAAATGAGAGGTATGTATGTAATTATATGTAAAAAGGCTTTTTGAACTATAATCCCCAAATCCGAAGAAATCTGTAGTTGAAAATGCCTCCAATTCCAGTGACGTCTCTGATTCCCCAGATATTGCTCAGACGTCATCGAAGATAGAAAAGATATAAAAAATGTTACTTTGAATCTCCGATTATCCTTCTGATTATTGAATAGATTGGATGATGGAAGATCAGAAGCTGAGAATCGTTCAGAGTATTCGACTCGTTTGGCGGGCCAATGAAAATTTGTCCCTTCCAAAGCGATGCATCATGGGAGATCTTTATGTAAATTACCACCTATTGAACTCTTTTCGGGAATAGGAGTATTAGTAATGAGCATGACATGTAGTATTAAATCTTTCACATTCTATCAGAATTTATATTGGAGTCCAAGATTTTAATTCATTTAGCCCCAATATTTAACAAATTTTGTCTGATCACACTAATTCCAGAAAGCCTCATAAAGTTGTTGAATGGTGATCCAGGCTTATCAGATGTACGTAAATGGTAAACGTGACAAAATCAAATTTCCTTGAACTCTTTGTATTGAATTGTACACAATGGCAGTTCTGTGTATGTGTCAGTTTTTGACATGTTCACTGACAGATAATCAAAGTTCAATTTTTTCTTGTTTACTTTTCAATTACAGTTCAGTTGTACTAAACCAACTCCAACCATAGGCCCAAAGCCAGGATCTGCCAAGGGGCTCCACATTTTATGTCCCCACCACATAGTGTGTTAAAAAGTTCCAGGGGGGTTCACTTTTGACAATGTTGGTCCAAAAATGGACAAAATCACTTCAAAAGTGCACAGAATGGTGAAAAACTGCATGATTTTGAAAGAATTTTTGGCTACGGGCCTGAACCATAATACATGTATGCTTTACAAATGTTTAGGAAAAAACAGTGTATATGCACAGAGATGTTTAATAATATGATAAAAAATGATGAGCTAAAACAAGTACATTTTAAGATTTGAATTCAAAGCTTACAGCTCAGTAATTAAAAATTTTCAAATATTGTAGAGAAGGGTCATTAATGGATCGGGTCCAGGTTTTGGTTCATGTCCCTTTGTAAACCCCAAGTCAGTAAATGTTTAAGTGTAAAAAGCATCTTGTAACTGCATCTCACGTTAATCATTAGTGTCACAAGTGCAAA